TGAATACAGCGCGGAACAGAGGAAAACAGCACGCAAAACAGAGAAAAACAGCGCAAAGCAGAAAAAAAATTTGCAATGAGTTGATATTTTTTTTTTGAGTTGGGGTCAGGGATGGCCAATTCGAATAAAGTATTGGAATGTATTCGAATATCTCGTTATTCGAATATCGGAATCAGCGTTCATAAGAATATCGAATATTTGTGTGGCGTCACACATTTTCGACACCGCTTTCAAGACATTTCCGTTGAGTGAAAACATTCTCGATAGAAACTTGCGCGCGATTGCTTTATCAGCGGACGTGTTATTTAGGCCGTAAACGCATTCACGTTTGTGTTACTTTACTAAAAGGCAAATTGTGAATCCGGTAAATACGTCATCGGCGGCGAGTTTCTATAGAAAACGCAAATTTTTGGATTGAAAAGCGGCAATTTGAAATACTGAAAATAAAACCGTAAACAAAATATGTTTTAATGAAGCCCGCGACAATTTAAAAAACGCTTTTCTAGGGTGCCTGATTATCCATTACCTTAATTAAATTGCCGTCGAAAATTTTTGTGTTAACATTATACAAGGTTTGAAACGCGACTTTTACCGGGTTGTGAGAATATATATAATATAATTAATCTAAAGTATATTCAATCAATTTTTATTGTGCTGAAATAAATTTTACGGCAGATTTATGGATTTTTCGAACAGTTTCATCTCAAAAATAATCAGAGTGGGGGCATTTCGATTGAGTGGAGTCAGTGTTACACATCTCAAATTTGCTGAATTCGCAAAATAAGGAACAAAACAATATATAATCGGGCAGTTTACCACACATTGCGGGTTGCCATGGCATATTAGAGTGGTGAGGATTTTATTTTGTCGACGCAACCGCAGGTTATATTGGAAACAATTGAATTAAAAAAGCAAGACATTTTAAATATGCCCGTATTGGTCACGAATTAATCACTTTGCACAACAGAAAAATATATAGGCGTTGTTACCGTATTTTCTCGAAATTACGCCCATCTCGCGAATAAGCAGACTCCCTAAAAACAGCCTTAAAACAGCGATTTTATAAAAATTCGCGAATAAGCCGGTCCTTCGAATCGTTACATGCCGGACGCCTTAAGAAAATCGTAGAAAGAGAACAAAATTACTGTAACGCAAACATTTCTCACGTTTATCGTTTCTGCATATTAGCGACGGCCGTAGGTGAATTATTACACGTAACTCTTATTTGTTAATTTATGTTAATAAAGCCTATATTGCTTTTCAATGCGTCGGGAGTTTAAAATAGAGCTCCTGAATCAGCATAAAACAATTTCCTTTGATCGCCCACAATGGCGGTTAATTTCGTTCCACGTCTGTTTCAAGGAATAAAATAACGCTGTATTAACACATTCTTATAAATCGCTACGAATCTTAACACACTACATGCGTTAAGAAAGGCGCAGAAAGAAAACAAAATTACTGTAACACAAACATTTCTCACATTTATCGTTTCTGTTTGTTAGCGAGAGCCGTAGGTGGATTCTTACCCGCAACTCTTACTTGTTAATTCATGTTAATAAAGTCTATATTGCTTTCCAATGCGTCATGGTTTGTATTAATGGAAGGGATTTTCTGCAGCTGCTACAATTTTGAGTTTAAAAGAACAAGGGTAAGACATTCTTTTTCTGATAGAGTTCGACATGATCACGGTAGTTTAAAACTGTACTGAACGATAAATGACAAGACTATTTAATAGCGCAAACACGCAAGCGATCACGTGTGTGACAACCAACCAATCACAGACTGTACAAGCGATCACGTGGGATCAGACAATCACACCTGCACAAGCGAGCGACAACAAACCAATCACAGACTGTACAAGCGACACGTGTTGAACAAAGTAACTATTATAGTCACTTTGGTGTTGAACAAGCGATCAGCTGTATGATAAGACAATCACAACTGCACAAGCTAGCGAAAACAAACCAATCACAGACTGTACAAGCATCACGTGTTGAACAACGAATCACAGACTGTACAAGCCATCAGCTGTATGATAAAACAATCCACCTTCACAAGCGATTGAGTGCGTGCATGCACGCTTTTATTATGAGAACTTGATATGGTTTGAAGCTTCTGGAATTACCGGCAAGTCAGCATAATGTCATCTCGTTGCGGGATCAAAGTCTGATGCGCGAATGAACCAATTTTTTGGTGCGATCTGAGTCATGCGCGAATAAGCCGGTCCCTTAGTTTGGCAACTTTTTTTTTCAGTTTTAAACTCGGCCTATTCACGAAAATATACGTTATATAATTCGTTGTGAAAGTCGGCTCTTTTAACAGGTGGAGTAATCACGGCGATGAATCTGTATTTTTAATTTACTGCTAAACTTTATATGTATATTTATTGTGTGACATGAAGTTGTACTTAGAAGAATTTTATATCTATTAGGATTTTTCTAACGACGATAACGAGTTAGCAAGATTGCAAAAATACGTATTAAAATTAAATACATCAGGCAGTTTTTCTCGTACATTTAGGCCACAATTCGCCGTGGACCAAATAGTAATGTTTTCATTTTGACGTAAGAAGAAGCAACCGCGAGTTATGTTGGACACATTGAAACAATATAAAAAGATATTTTAGAATTTCGTAGTTGTCATGGATTGAATAATTTAAGCGACAGGATGATCATTATACGCCGAAAAGACGGCTCTTTCAACGAGCGTAGAATCGCGGTGGATGTTACAGGCGGCAATGGAAATTTCCGATTTTAAAAATCCTGGCTGCGCGCCTGGCAGTGGTGGTCATCTATCCTCTAACTTATTGCTAATTTCAGACTTAACAATATGCTAAACAAAATAACCACAAACTATCAATTACTTTGTATACATATACTATTGGTTTGTGGCTTTACTCTAATATTTCTATTGAAGCTTATTTCCTATTTTACTGGGTTTATGAACTAAAACAAAATTGTGTTATTTTTGATTTTAGAATGTATTCGGAATTCCAGATTCGAAAACATTATTTTAGAATGTATTCGGAATAGTTCAGTATTCGGAAATGGCCATCCCTGGTTGGGGTACCACGGCAGCAAATTAAAAACACAAACCAAGGCATGCAAGCTGTAATGGCAGGTCTACCCCATGCTGGTGACACATTTTGGGTAACGCAATTTAGAACATTTTCCATATGGATACAGTTTTAATTGATTTGGCTTTAGGGTTAGATAAAAAAAAGTAGATAAAATTTCGCATGATGACCTAGAATCCGGTACATAACCTTGTAAATATACCGAAAATAGGCCATAAAACCATGGCGACAGGCGCCGTGGTTCTTCCGTGACAGGAGCCGTCATGAGGTGGTAATAACTGCGACTCCTGTTTTGCGCTGGTTTTGTTCTGTTTTGGCGATAGGGGGTTCAATTGCAGAATGACGATTGAGCAAAGAATTAACATTAAATTTTGTGTCAAACTTGGAAAAATGCATGTCAACTCGGCATGCATTCAGTCGTTGAGCTTTCTGCTCCTCAGTCTGCTCCTGTACGGTATTCAGTAAGTAGTAAGACCCCAAAAATTATTGACATAAAGTCTCTTCAATATTAAATTCATACATATACCTATATCTTCATATATATCCTATATCTAGGGTATGGCAGCCATGGCTCGTGCCATGGGCGCCGTTCGGAAGGGGGCACAAAAAACGTGAAAAGTTCTTATGTTATAATGAAACTTGAAAATACTTGAAATTCGTATTTCTAATTGAATAATGGCAAAAGTCAATAAAAATTGTCAGCCAACGATCAATGCCATTTGTTCCGCCAGTTAGCGCAATTGACGGTCACGTCATAATTCAACATGAATAAACTTAAATTGATACGATACTGGACTAACTGCACCTCATATTTGCTCTGCTATCGTACTGGAGTGAACATTTATAAATATTCGTACAATGAGAGCGAGTGTTTTACATCGTGGAAAAAAATTTGAGCAATAGAACCGGAATTACTGGCACCGATTTCCATGTACAAATTGAAATGAAAAGACAAAAGTGGTGTGAGATTCTTAAATAAATATTAGTGTAATAAAGTAGCTGGCGGAACAAAACCCCGTTTTGCGAGGGTCTACAGGGAATCAATTCAAGCAAATAGTGATTCAAATGTTGGTAATTTTCTTGGCTTCAATGAAATTCCTTGCCGTCTTTGATCCTGTGTTGCGAGGGCATCTCGATTCCATTGAAACACAGCACATTCAACCTCTTACCCTTCTCCAAGTGTTCAAAATGATTTTTCATTGTGTCGAGTCTTGGTTTACTCAATCTCCGGATATCTTTGCAAATTTTGCTGACAATGGCATTATTCAAGGAAAGTTGCGAGGGATCGCTTAGTAAAATAAAATTAATTCTATCATACCCTGGATCTTCAATAAGCCAGGAAAGGTTGTGTGATCTGGCTTTATTAAGTATAAAGAGAGTAAGGGTAAGAGAAGAAATCATCGACGAATTTTCGTCAAGAAAGGCACGAAAAGTATACTATTCTTGGATCTTGTTATTGCCCGATCGTCCAATGCTTATTGTGTCATTATTAAATCATGTAAACAAAACAAGCGAAGTTGGGGCGCATCTTTAAACCTTTGCCATTGGCGCCATTTCACCTAGATACGCCACTGCATATACCTATTTCATTAATGAATGAAAATAAACTCATACCAGTATATCCAGAATGCCGAAACAAAATGCACCGTGTTGTATTTCCCACAACACAACACCTTCCTGCCTGTTGTCCGTGAAACGGGGAATACCCTAACTATCTGGTGTTGGATTCAGTGGCTCTTGGATACCATCCAGTGTGATCACGATTGCTCGCCAATGACACTTCACCAAGAATTTTAATTAAAATATAATTTGCGATCTTCTAGATTCTAATTGGACATTAATTGTACATATGGATCGTTTTGTTATTATGTTGTTGTGAAATAATATCTTTCCTCATTATCTTGAAAGAAATGGCTTTGAAATTTCCAGCGGTTAGAGCATTTTTCGCTAAAAGGCTATGACTTTCATTTATTTCAAAAATTTGTGTTGGCTTTTTAGGATCCAGTTTTTGTGTGCGATGACATCATCAAAACTAAAAACTACCCCACTTTCTCACAATTTCAAAATTTACTGGTGTTCTAGGTATGAAAAAACTTAAAGTCGTTAATCTATTTTGAAATCCAACTAGAGGATATTTGATCAATGATTTAATGTCATTGATTTGATATACAGCCGTTTCTAGCCAATATCAAAATGAGTTTATTAAACTGCCAACTCCACAACCTGATATCAATTCCAACTTTAGCCAAACAATAGTGACATGTGTTGTCTGTGTAGATCTTTATCAAAAATATGCATCAAATCATCTTCAACATTCTTTTGGGAAATTAAGCAGTGACGTAACAAGCATGTTATGAAGACAAGCAGGAACTTCGCGACTATCAGAGAAAACTTCATTCCTTTCTTGGCTGATCTAATTATGATATTAATATTGCAAATAACACCTGTGAAAAATTACATAAAACTGGATAGCGATTGGAGACTGCCAACTTATCGATCCGCATGTAACCAAAATACCTAAATGTCCACATCGCAGACAGGGCATTGTTACGCACACAATCGTTCGCAGCGACGAGAGTAAGAGGATCCCCCAAAACAGAAACTGCGGTCTCGATATCTTCCCTTTGACTCAATAGACACACCGCGCGTCCCACCACAATTAATTTGCCAATTATAGGACATAATTCATCCAAAATCATAGGCTTCTGGTCCGAGATATGATGAATGAACATGCAAAATTTGGAGCAGATTCAACTTCGCTTTCGTGAGATATCGCGTAACATACGAAAGTGTCTAACAGACAAATACCCAATATATCGAGATCGATAAGTAATAATGCCAGTAAGAATTTGTCAGAAGATTAACTACAAACATCAAAATGAAAATTTATATTTCTGTCTAGCACCTTTTATACATAACATAATAACAATTCTATATTTTATCAAGTTCACTGAATTAGTCAATATCAATATACTACAATAATAAAATTTTCGAAAATATTCAATAAAATTATATTTCCTTTGTTACAGAACTTATTGTCTGTTAATCAGGAATTGAAATCAATGAATAACAATATGATTTCATGCCTCATTGGTTGCAAAGATATTAATACCAAAAATGAAAATGTCTCAACATCATCATTTTCAGAATAAGGAATATTAAAAGTTGAACAACTGTTCTTAGCCTAGAAGGCCACAACAAGTCTGTTATGACGTTATACAGATGATGGTATGAAATGAGCCTCACCTCAAAAATACAAAACACTAATAATGCATTGGACAACACACATCAGTGATCCAAGAGTTTTGTATTTTCTTCTATTTGTAAAAAAAAAAAAATTGCAAAAATTTGATATTGGATAGACCGAACCCAATTTGTGCAACAGGGGTCATAAAGGCTTTACTGTCACTAACCTAAATATTTCATTTACAAAAACACATTTATTTTTGATCAGTTATTCCAAGAATAAAAAGCAAGAATAATGTTTACCGCATTTAGGAAATGCATATTTTCGAACTAGGTAATTATATCAAAAAAGCAGTGAAATGATGAAAATAAAAATAAAACAGTGATTTCGAAGGAATGAGCATTTGGTATAAATAACCCCCACTGGGTCATGAAGATGAAAAACTTAATTTATTGTATGGAATTAAAATCAGATAGGCCCCATCAGGTTAATAAGAAAGATATGATAACAACCCATATGATACCAACCATGAAAAAATAATGTAGGGTAAGCCCCTGTAAGATGTCATATCACAAAATTGAATAAAATATTGAAAAATGATACATTTTTAAGAATTAGAGAATAAATTGTAGACCATAATAAATAAAATGACATAAAAAAAATTATATAATATCAACGCTACCAATATGAAGTTAATTTTCAGTTGTCACTTCCAATTAAAATAGGTAATGATTAACTAACCAAACAATCGGATTATCAATATTGATATTGGTTATCTATAAAGAGAATATATTCAAGCTATATCTTCAAACATTCTGTGAATTCGTTCTTAAGCTAAATGTATTGAAGATAAATACGGTAATAAAAAAAATGTTGTCAAAGGAATTACCGGTATTCAATCTGAATATTACCACACAAATGATTAATTTACTAGTTTCAATAATTCTGCAAACAAATTTAATTTCAGAGTAAATCAGAAAATTGATAGGTATATTCAATAAGATTATGAGAGCCACAATTGTCAAAGTATAAGAGTAAATGATGCTACATAGATATTGCAATAGTTGCCAGCGGAATTAGATTTTTTCCTTGTATTGTTTCAATGATTTTCCATTCTTTTGTTTCGGGATCATATTCCTCTATATTTGCAGGATTTCCATTTCCACCAATGGCATAAACTCTGTCATTAATCACACAACTACTGAAATAATGTCTTGCAGTTTTCATTGGTTCCAACATCATCCAGGTTTTAGTTACAGATGAACGAAATTCAACAGTAGTGAGATTTGATTTTGTATCATAGCCTCCCATAACATATATTCCTTCCTCTGTAGCAGTTGCTTGATATCTTGTTTCATTCAATGATCCATTGACCAAGTTGATGTGACAGGATCGTGAATCTCAGCTTGGTTTGTTGCTCGACCTTGTAGGTTTGTTCCTGCAACACAAAACACCTTTCCATCAGCAGCCACCAAATGTTCCCAAGCTAGAATCAATGATTTGTTCGTAAGTCTGGTCCATCTATTATTTGGTGGATCATATTTTTCCATAATATTTGAGTGCTTTCCATATTCAATACCATAAACAAAACCATCGAGTGCAACTGCACACGCATACTTAAGATTTGTATTTGTCATTTGTTCCCACTTTGCATTGGATTCAGCAAATTCAAGTCTATAGAATAATCTATTGCTACAAATCTCACATAAATGTAAGATTCCGTCACTACAGCAGAATGCAATGTATTCTGTATATTTGCTTGATCTATGGTTTGCATTGGTGTCCATGTTTTATCATAAACATCAAGAGAATGCATTCTTTGAGAAGTTTTGTCAAAAACAACAAGCTGTTTGTTCTCTGTTAAATTGAAATCTTTTGAACTGATATTCTCAGGATGGCTGTCCAGTATTGATAAAGTCAGTGACCGAATACACTGCATAGATTCAAATAACAGTGGCTCATTTTCAACAAGAAATCGTCTATATCAATGGTCGGCAACCTTTTTTAAGTGACGGACCGGTAAACCCTGGCGAAAATTTTGGCGGACCACCTTTTATACAAACGAACTAAGTTTATGCAATAAATTCTACACGTTAAGAAACTTATGTTAATAATATACTGAAAAAACGAAAGCCATGCTATTTAATGCGAGATCTGTAATTATTGGTTGGCAATTAACTGTTCCAATATTGGAGATATGGTCGACATCGACACATGTAACGTGTTTCATACAGCCTACTTCGATATTTCCTTTTTTGTAGTTATCAATATTGAAACCAGGCCTCACATTAATAAGATGGTGGAATAAGTAACAATGCCTGTAAACCTCCTATCTCTAGTCTGGGTATTGATTGATGTTTGATTGAATGTTTGATTGAATATTTGATTTTACTATTGTTTGTTTTGCCATAACTAATTTTTTACCCGATGTGTTAACTTATGATTATCCTGATTCCTGAAGTATAGAATTAGCACTGACTAGTCATGACCGGTTAGCTATGAGCAAGTAGTGGAGTAGTCACTAGTCACGTTCCTAGCGAGAATCATTTTGTTCGAGAGATCTTATGCCGACTGATGTGAGACTTTCTTATACGGGCGTTGAGGGAAGAATTGACCCAGCGTCAATGCGACATAATGACATGGGAATTGTTTGTGAAGTCAGACATGCTGCTGAAATGCGTTATGTTTGTCTGGTTTAGTGCTTTTTTGATTGTGTAGTATGTGGTTAGATTGTAGAGGCTTCATTAGGGCCTTGTCCGTTTCTGTGTCACCTCTCTGCAGACCGGTAGTAACCTTTCCGCGGACCGACGATGGGCCGCGGCCCGGTGGTTGCCGACCATTATAGAGTCTATATGACAAAGTCATTTTTGTCAACTGAAATTTCATCATCAAACTAAGAAAACATTCTTTTCTTTCATCAATATCATGTTTGGTCCATGCTAACAACATCTTACATTTCACTTCTTCCCTTGCTTTCATTTCCTTTGATTCCATCAGAAATGAAATGAATTTTCCATCAAGATCCATCCAACTCATCAGACTGGGCAACTTCTTTAAAACGTTGCAATGCAAATTGATTGCATTTTTCCTCAAGTTGTACCTATTCGCAATTTTTTTAGTTTGAAAAAACGATCTAGGATCAAGATCATCTTCCAGAAAATTTGCGATACTATCACAAAGTCTTTGCAGCTGCATCATGTGAGCGACATCCATGAGTGTTTCACGTTTTTCTTTGGCAACATAAACATCCCCTGTGTAAATGAAATCAACACATTTTTTAACACAAACTTCATCAAATTCCTTTATTTCAACGACACCAGATTTTGTTTCAACATTTTCATGAGATAACATTGCTTTAAAATAATCGGAACTTGCCGACACAATATTCTTATGAACAGGAAGTTCCTCAGATCCAGCTTTGATCATGAAATCACAATGACGTCCCGTTTTACGATATTCATTTAATTGTTGTAAAATTTCAACAGCATGTTCTTTAGAATCTGTATTGATTTTTTCTTCCATTTCTGAGATGATTTTGTTCGATTTTATAAAGTACTGCTTATCATTATTAATAATAATACTTTGAACAATAGGGACAATTGAAAGAGTTTGACTTAACAGTTCATCAAAAATAAACCTTGCTTCATAAAAAAATGAAACTATAATGGAAAACAATGCCTGATCAAATAAGTACACATCACAATCTCGGAGCTATGTAAAGAATGAAGTCAAATATTGTCTGCTTAAATTGAAGCTCCTCGGACTATCAGAAGGCATATTGACATTTAGGTTATATAAACACAACTGAAAACTGACATCCGTTGAAAATACGGGCATTTTTTACAAGTGGCCTGCCTAATTGCGGCGACAGTTTCATGAAAATTTCCGGATTTTTTTCGATTCAATTTCTCGATCAATCAATTCTCAATTCTAACCAAAACCGCAACTGGATAATTACTAATTTGTTATTTCAGAACGTGGTGTTTTTCTCAAATTTCACATTAGTGGCGAAGGCTTTGTACAAAAGATCCTTATTTCGCAAGCCTCCCTATATAGCAATTTTAAACGAATCAATCCAAGTAATACTGGCGCTCCCGTTTTCTATGTACAGTCCCCGAAGGATTATGACTTCAAGCCAAACATACACTGAATGCTCCGCGGGCCGCACAAAATCTCTTGGCGGGCCGCAGGTTTGTCACCTCTGTTATAAATGATACTTGTTCTAAATGAAAAGTGTTATATGATTATTATGTTTCTTCAGAAATTACTAAAAAAGTTTTGGGCGTTTTTATATTTGGCAGTTTACTGGAATGAGTGGTTTATCATTTAACTAAATTCAATATACTAAAGTTTTTATCTTAGGTCCAAGTAAAAAGTCTATTCAAGGAAGCAAGGCTAAAAATAAGAATATTGATTTTAGAGTGGTATGGCCAAATACAACATGGACTGTGAGACACTAATTTGCAATCGTGATACAGTACCAATACATAAAGTTGAAAAAACAAATTGCTAAACTTTTCGAAATTTATCGCTATTTCAAGTTAAATCATCGGCGGAATGGAAAGTTGACTATCTAAAATGCCATTTAGATCATAAAAAGCACTAGGTGCATTAAACTCCGAAGCGAAAGTTTGAATCAATGGGAGGTAGTTTGAATTTGGCAAAGCAAAAATTACATCTTTGAATTTTTCGAAAAACTTAGACTTTGTCGTCTGGCAAAGAAATCTTACAGAGCATAAGACAAGAAAAATTTCATACCCTAATTGTTGATGAAAGCAATGATATTTCAACTATGAAAAAGGTTGATATTGTACATAAAGTATTGTGCATTGATGATTGTCGCTTGATTCATCAATAAACATGGACAAATAGATTAACATTGGAAAATCACGAAAACAAGGAGAAGCTATTTGAGTTAAATGTGTGCTTTGTTCGCATTACGATTATATATAGGTAATACTATTGTAATATTTCACAAAGTTTGTAAATATTTTAAGACCCTGCTCAGGCAGTACAAACAACATTTGCGCAGTGTGGAATTTTCTTAGAGGGAACACTGGCCTGCAGTTACCCATGAATGAAAAGACCAACTACTCATTCGGATGTAACGAGATCAAAAAAACTATAAAATGAGAAATAATATTGGTGCTCGTAACACTCTAGCTCAATTGCATTTACTAATACTGGTACCTGCCGACCAGCCGGAAAGGTTAAAGCAATTTTGGCACCTTTTGGACAATAAATGGCCAAGTTACTGCAGAAATGTAGAAAATAGGGCTAGTAGTTAAGCACCTTTCCGGTACATGCCGAACAGCACAAATTTCACTTTCCAGCTTTCAAATCCTAGTCATTTGTATGTGCATGTTTGACAGAAATTAGGGGGGGCCCCGAAAAATCATCACGCGACCCAATCCGGGGTCGCAACCCATAGTTTGGGAACCACTGACTTAAAAAAAAAGGGATGAATAATATTTAACATATCTTTGAACTAGTTATATCGAAAAGCAGTGGAATGATAATAATTAAAAATTGCAGTGATTTCGAAGGAATGAGCATTTAATATAAATAACCCCCACTGGATCATAAAGATGAAAAACTTGAATTCTTGTATGGAACTAAAATCAGATAGGCCCCATCATAAACAATTAATGCGAGGTAATGCGAAAGATATGATTACAATCCATACCATACCAACCATAAAAAATAATATGGGATAAGCCCCTGTAATCTGACATATCCCAGAATTGAGTAAAATATTGAAAATGTTACATTTTCAAGAATTTGATTGAAAAAAAACAATAAAATATCAACACTACCAATATTAAAGTAATTTTCACTTGTCACTTCCAAATAAAATAGGTAATGATTAACTAAGCAAACAATCGAATTATCAACATTGATATTATTGTCTCCATATCTGTAAAGAGAAATTATTCAAGCTATGGTATATCTTTGAACATTCTGTAAATTCGTTCTTAAGCTAAATGTATTGAAGAACAATAATCTAATACACTTGGTTAAATAAATTATTCACTCAAAATATTACTACACACAAATGATTAATTTACTAGTTTCATCATTATGAAAAATTAATTTGAGAGGACATTAGAAAAACTGATAAGTATTTTTTTCATCAAGAATAATGTTTGTGAAGTATAAGAGTAATTGATGTTACATAGATATTGCAACAGTTGGCGGTGGGTTATATTTTTACATTTTGTTGCGAGCTCAACAAAATCTAAACAATTGATTAAATGCTGCTAGTAAGTACTTATTTTTTTGGGGAAGTAGAGATCGGTTGGCATGAGACTTTGTAAAAAGCATTCGACTAAGATGTAGTTTCTAGTGAACTTTGACATGGGGTTGTGCCAATGTGGTTGATAACAACGTAACACACTTTTTGTTTCTATCTTATAATTATTATTTTTTAATTGGGAACACCCCAAAACTGAAGAAAATGGCATTATTTTAATTTTTTTAATATTGATATTGTGGAAATGAGGTAATTACCCAAAAATCTAATTTTGTGATATAAAACAGAGTAACACTTCCAGTAAAACTTAGTCTGGTTCTATTTTCCGGTATTTCCCATATTCTATGCAACTACCGCAAAACAAACCCATTTTTAATAACTTTTCAGCAACACAAAATTGATCTTTTTTTGTTTGTTCTAAATTTACAACTATAGTCCTAGTTGTTTTTATGAATACGCCCCCCCCCCCCCCCCATCTGTTAAAAAAAGTTCTTTCATCCTTGCCAGTTCAAATTAAAAAAAAATTGATATTGGATGAACAGAAACCAATTTGTACAACGGGGGCCATGTAATAATAGGTTTAGAGCCACTAGCCTGAATATGACAATTCATAATGTTGAATCTATAGAACAGTTATTTCATGAATAAAAAGCATAGATATTCATAAACAAATTTAAAAAAATGCATATTAGGTACCGTAATTGATTATATCAGAAAAGCAGTGGAAACAAAATTAATATTTCAAAAAAATACAGTGATTATCACTAAAGCAAATGATTATTTAATATTAACCCATTCTCAGCAACAATTGAAAAACTAGAATTGTTGTGTTGAACTAAGATCAAATGAAATTTTTCAAAACAATTTAGGCATTGTGAACAAAAGAATTTCAAATTATGAAACCACGATTCATAAATAAAAATTGAAATTGGTCAACGCCTCATTGTAGCATGTCACAAAATTGAATGAAACAATGAAAAAATAGAAAATGTCGAAGAATACTAAATTAAAATTTTGTTCATTAATAATTCAATAATATTATAAAATGGGGGAAAATTAGAAACCATTAATAAGATTCGAATAACAACTTCTTAATAAAATCAGGTAATGTTTAGCATCAGGCTGTCAAATTATCAATAAGATAGATGTATATATGAAAAAATCCAATAAACTTAATATTAAATCATAAATTCATTCTCAAGCTAACTATAACTTAAGACAAGAATATAAGATAATGAAATGAATGAATATTTGATAAATTTAAATTATTTAGCCCTCATCATTTTATGATATAATCTGGGAAAAAATTAGAAATGTTGACAGGGATTTTTAATAAACATATGAGAGCCATGTATGTCCAGGAATATAAGCTTTCAATGTTATATTGATATTGCAACTGTTGCTCTTGGAAAAATATTTTTTCCTGGTATTGTTTCAATGATTTTCCATTCTTTTATTTCCGGATCATATTCCTCTATATTTGCAGGATTTCCATTTCCACTAATGACATAAACTTTCTCATCAATCACACAACTACCAAACCAGTGCCTTGCAGTTTTCATTGGTTTCAACATCACCCAGGCTTTAGTTACAGATGAACGAAATTCAACAGTAGTGAGCAATGATTTTCCATTAACATAACCTCCAATAACATATATGCCTTCCTCTGTTGCTGTTGCAGAAGCACAATATCTTGCTTCATTCAATGATCTATTATCCGTTGACCAAGTTGATGTGACAGGATCATAAATCTCAACTTGGTTTGTTGCTCGAACTTGCTGATTCATTCCTGCAATACAAAACACCTTTCCATCAGCAACCACCAAAGATTCATAAGCTAGGATCAATGATTTGTTTGCTAGTCTGGTCCATCTATTATTTGATGGATCATATCTTTCCATAATGTTTGAGCTCTTTCCATACTCAATACCATAAACAAAACCATCAAGTGCAACTACACAAGCATACTGAAGATTTGTATTTGTCATTTGTTCCCACTTTGCATTTGATTCATCATATTCAAGTCTATAAAACGATCCATTTGTACAAATCACATAAATGTAAGATTCCATCACTACAGCAGAATATAATTTCTTTATAATTGCTTGATCTAAGGTTTGCATTGGTGTCCATGTTTTATCAGCAACATCAAGAGAATGCATTCTTTGAGAAGTTTGATCAAAAACAACAAGCTGTTTATTCTTTGTTAAATTAAAATTAAAATCTTTAGAGCTGATATCCCCATGACTGTCTAATATTGACAAAGTCAGCGACTGGATAGACTGCATAGATTCAAATATCAATGGTTCATTTTCAACAAGAAATCTTCTGTATGACAAAGTCATTTTTGTCAACTGAAATTTCATCACCAAACTAAGAAAACATTCCTTTCTTTCATCAATATCATGTTTGGTCCATGCTAACAACATCTTACATTTCCCTTCTTCCTTTGCTTTTGTTTCATTTGATTCCATCAGAAATGAAATAAATTTTTCATCAAGATCCATAAACTCATCAGACTGGGCAATTTCTTCGAAACGTTGCAATGCAAATTGATTGCATTTTTCCTCAAGTTGTTTACAGTTGTACATATTCGCAATTTTTTTAGTTTGAAAAAACGATTTAGAATCAAGATCATCTTCCAGAAAAATTGCGATACTATCACAAAGTCTTTGCAGCTGCATCATGTGAGCGACACCCATGAGTGTTTCACGTTTCTCTTTGGCAACATAAGCATCCCCAGTGTAAATGAAATCAACACATTTTTTTACACAAACTTCATCAAATTCCTTTATTTCAACGACACCAGATTTTGTTTCAACATTTTCATGAGATAATATTGCTTTAAAATAATCGGAACTTGCCGACATAATATTCTTATGAACAGGAAGTTCCTCAGATCCAGCTTTGATCATGAAATCACAATGACGTCCAGTTTTACGATATTCATTTAATTGTTGTAAAATTTCAACAGCATGTTCTTTAGAATCTGTATTGATTTTTTCTTCCATTTCTGATATGACTTTATTTGATTTTATAAAGTACTGCTTATGATTATACCACTATTAATAATAATACCTGAAACAATAGAGAAATATAATTAAACAGTCCATCACAAATAAACCTCAGGAGAGACAATGAAGAACTCAATAAGTTAACTGCTTCAAAAAACAAAGATCACAATAAAAAAAATAACACTCTAACTAACAAGAAGGGATGCCTGAATGAAATGAGCTCAACAAAACCTAAACAATTGATTAAATGAAGCTAGTAAGTACTAGAAATGTTCCGATACCACTTTTGTAACCGATACCAATACCCACGAATAATGCAAGTACAGATACTATGTAATTATTATTTTAGGTGTGCGGGGTAGACTGGTTAAAACAAGCAGCTGATAGAATTATTAGGCTTCCCGCTGCTTGTCAGCAGGGAACCTATTGTATTCCTGTGTTTTATTATTATTTATTTATTATTATTATTTTTTCAAATTGGTCCTACAAACTTGAAATTCACCTCAAATGTGCAGAAGTTCTCAGCTAGCAATAAAATGCAAATTTTTCAGCTTTAGTTCATAGTGCAAATTATTTCAGCTTGAAAAAAGGATATTCCAGATAATAAAAAAACTGATATTTGTAATCGAGGTGCATTGTGCATTGACATTCGTAAACTATGTGTTCAATTAGGAAACCCATAGGGTTTGGCTACGATAGAATGTACAGTAAATGGTGACCGTACATTTGAACCCACGTACATTTGAACCCATGTGTATATCCACGGGTTTAATCTATATGCGGGTGCTAAAACCCATGGGTTAGGGTTAGTATGGGTTCAACTATCCGAAAAACAAAAAAAATTTCATAGGTGCCATAGCACACAGGGGGAATTTTCATGGGTTCAAATGTACGTGGGTTCAAATGTAATGAAACCACAGTAAATATATGTTTCTTTATCCTATCAAACTGATACATTAAGTTGCTTGCGCATGATTTTGTGCAAATATATTATCTCATATATTGTATTTCAGTCATTAGAAATTATTCAATTGATATATTTCTTCAAATTATCATGTCGTATTAAAAGGTCAATATAAAATATAATACATACCTAATAATATTATAAAATTTAGCAGCGAAAATAGCCAAATTAGTTTAGCCAGGTTGGCTGATAAATAGTTAAAAGAAGATCAAAAACATGTTCCCATTTCTACTCACAAAAGTGGGGGCGGGCATGACTCAGAGTTAACGAGGCAATTACCTCAAACATAATCTCTCCGCGCAAGAAATAATTTCAACATTATTCTAACTTAATTTTTAAACCATTCTGGATTAGATTATAAAGCTAAATATATCGGAAATAAATTAAATATAGACCATTTAATCAATACTGCAAAACGGGCCGATATAACCAATGCATCTCTAGTAGGTACGTTACCTATTTTTTTGGGAAGTAGAGATTGGTTGGCGCAGGATCTGGTAAAAAGCATTCAACAGAAGTTTCTTGGGAACTTTGTCGTTAAGTTGTGGTCGATTAAACGCTTTTGAAGTAAACTCCAAGAAGGTGGAGGTGCCGATGGCGATATTGTGGAGGTGAAGCAAAGTCACACCTGGAAAAAGACTAGCTTTTAATTTGAATTAATCAATGACTTGTATTAATCAATAAATCTTAGTTGAGACTTTTTCAAGATTTTGTCAACGCAAGCAATTTAGTTATCACAGAAATCTACAGACACAGCATAAAGGGATTGTAAACAGCAGAATTGCAGACTTTTTGCACTATTGCTGCATTAGTTATAAATTTAATTACTGTTGATGCAAGCCAAAATATGAGCATTCAAGCAAGATCACATTTTCATGTTGCTCGATGATATCGATCTTTTTTAACAGGAGCAGAAACTACTCGTTTTTGAATATTCTTACAATTTGATTCCAGAATCTACTGGTGTTCTGGGGCCTAAAAACTTTCACCCAACTATGAGTCACAAAACAATTTTGAGTCTTAACTCAATGAAATTTAAGAAATACAGATGATTCTGGCCGATACCAAATTAAGTTCAAACACCCAACTTCAAAGCCTGATATAAAGTCCACGTTTTGCTAAACAATGGCATGTTTTGTCCATGTACAGCTTCATCAGAAATACGCATCAAATCATCTTTAACAAACTTTTGGGAAATCGTCAAGTAGGGAACCAAGCATGTTGCAACGACAAATTGTAACTCTGCAATAATCAGAGACTATTTAATTTCTTTCTCAGTTGATCTGATTATGATATCAATATTACAAATTTTACCTGTAAAAATAAAAATACCTCAAAAAATTAGCTGCAAGCAAAAAAGTGAAAACTTAATATTTTCCTACAAATATCTTTTATATTTAACATAATAACAATAACAGTTGGGCTAATATATTTTATTGAGTTCAAGGAAATATTCAAAATAAATATATTACGACAATGAAAATATTCAACAAAATCCTATTCCCTTCATAATAAAACTTATTTTCAGTTACCTAATTAAAAAATTTTAATTAATGAAAAATCCTAACGGTCAACAAATATTTAAGATTTGTCAGTTGCAGAAAAATTTATAAAAATGTCTCAAAATTACATGATAAACGCCCTTGAACATCTTTCATAACATATTATACGGTACTTGTTCTAGGGCTAATGTGAGTTTGAACAAAAGTTTTTCAAATATTATATCTCAAAATTGGTATGAAGCAAACAAGTGTAATAGACTGGAACAAATTCTACAGTCATATTTTAAACACTCTATAATAAGTACAAAACTATACCTATTCAAGTTCAAAATCCATATGAACCCAGAAACACCATTTAAAAATTTCCAAAATATAATTATCAGGAGTTAAATTATTGTTTGTCAACTTCAAAAATACCATAACATATATCTTATCTCGTTATATACCGGTAAATGATGATATGAAATAAGCCTTTCCCAAAAAATAAAAAGAATTGTCACCAGTGATCAGCAGTAATGTTATTACAAAGACAAGATTGAATAAATAACAATCTGTTAAAAAAGTTTTTCCATCTTTGAAATTTTCACTTCGCAAAATTGGACATTGGATGGACAGAAACCAATTTAATAAAACAGGAGCAATGTAATAAAAGGCTTTATAGCCACTATCCTGAATATTACAATGCGTAATGACAAATCTATTGAACAGTTATTTCATGAATAAAAAGCATAGATAATAATTAACCGATTTCGAAACTTGCATATTAGGGAATTGATTATATCAAGAAAGCAGTGGAAACAAAATCAATAATTCAAAAAAATTTTTACTAAAGTAAATGATTATTTATTATTAACCCTTTCTGATCAATAGTCGGAAAACTTGAAATTTTATGCAGCTGAAAAAATTGAATTGTTGTGTTCCACTCAAATCGAAAACAATTTAGGCCAGGGGTCTCAAACTCGCGGCCCACAGAACGATAGTTTGTGGCCCCCGCCTTGGTATGAAAGTTTAATGTTAGTGCGGCTCGTCAGTCACTCGGCTCAGTTAAAATGAATGATACATTTAATATATGATCAGGACAAGTAGAGCAAAAAGGAAATATTTTAGAATCTATCCCCCGAAAGGAATATGTGGTACGGTAACCTACTAGTACCGTACCTTGAGGCATGATATTCGATGGACCTTTGACCCCGAGAAATTTCTTATACTTTACCATTGCAAATTCTTGGTGCTTATTTTAGAGGTGGCTTCGCGAGTTGAAACCTATAAACTGGGATATATGTTTCACGTCCTCATTTTGATTCGAAACATTCAACGACCTGTTTTTCAGCAGTACCGGTAGAGAAGTTCAGCCTAGTCTATCACAGCTATTTCTAGGATAATTTTCTGATTACAGCAATTAAGCTACGGCGCCCAAGCAATCAGAATGATCATTGAGTTCTTTGATTCATACTTGAATTTCTGAAACACAATCCAAAATTAACAAATAGCATGCAAAAACGAGGTAATGTTTACAAACATGCCTGAAAATTATTCTGAGTGACAAGTGTCTGAGCATTTGCGAAAAAGTCTTTTGTTACGTCACTTTTTGCGTCTTGCTGATTAGCCCATTTAACGGAATAAACAAGAAAGCAAAAAGCAGATTTCTTACATTTATGTTTTTGACAATCAGTGAAAAAGATTTAACTTTTCAAGTTCAATGCTTTTATTGTGAAAAACCTGATGCGGTCCGGACTCACTAAGGCTCCGTCTCGGCGGCCCCCAAGTAAATTGAGTTTGAGCCCCCTGATTTAGGCATTGTGAATGAAAGGATTTCAAATTCAAACCATCATTCATAAATAAAAATTGAACGTCGTCAACACCAAAATTATGGCATGTCACAAAATTGAATAAAATACCAAATAAATTAAAAGCTTGATCATTATCAATGCACTAATATAATAAAATAAGTAGAATGAAAAACCCTCAATAGGATTTGAATAACTATTTCTAAATAAAATTAGATAATATTAAGGTGGTTAGGCGATCAAATTTTCAATCAGATACTAGTTGGATGTATATATGAAAAAGATTATTAAACACCACATTAAAACATACATTCATCATAAAGCTGTCTTATCGACTTTCCTGACCCATGGGTAAATAAGTAAATCCTAACTTTATTCTATACATTCATTCTTAAGCTAACTATAATACAACACAAGAACACAAGAAAAATTACAAAAAATTTGATAAATTGAAATAATTTGGTCGAGTATTATGAGACACATAAAATTAGATTATCATCTTATGATATAAATTAATTTGAAAAAAAAATTAGAAATGTTGACAGCGATTTTCAATAAGCATATAGTAGCAATATTTGACCAGAATGAATAGAAATAAACATCAACCTCATACAGATATTGCAACAGTCAATCTTGAATAAATATTTTTTCCTTGTATTGTTTCAATGATTTTCCATTCTTTTGTTTCTGGATCATATTCCTCTATATTTGCGGGATTTCCATTTCCACCAATGACATAAACTTTCCCATGAATCACACAACTACTGAACCATTGCCTTGTCGTTTTCATTGGTTTCAATATCATCCAAGTTTTAGTTACAGATGAACGATATTCAACAGTATTACTAGTATTCCTACTAACATTATAACCTCCCATAACATATATTCCTTCCTCTGTAGCAGTTGCTGTAGCGTGCCATCTTGCTTCATTCAATGATCTATTATCCATTGACCAAGTTGATGTGACAGGATCATAAATCTCAACTTGGTTTGTTGCTCGACCCTGTTGATTCATTCCTGCAATACAAAACACTTTTCCATCAGCGACCACCAAAGATTCATGAGCCAGAATCAATGATTTGTTTGTTAGTCTGGTCCATCTATTATTTGATGGATCATATCTTTTCATAATGTTTGAGAAATTTCCATCCTCGATACCATAAACAAAACCATCAAGTGCAACTACACATGCATACTGAAGATTTGTATTTGCCATTTGTTCCCACTTTGCATTTGATTCAGCATATTCAAGTCTATGAAAGTCATTTTTGTCAACTGAAATTTCATCACCTAACTATGAAAACATTCTTTCCTTTCATCAATATCATGTTTGGTCCATGCTAACAACATCTTACATTTCCCTTCTTCCTTTGCTTTTGTTTCATTTGATTCCATCAAAAATGAAATAAATTTTTCATCAAGATCCATAAACTCATCAGACTGGGCAATTTCTTTAAAACGTTTCAATGCAAATTGATTGCATTTTTCCTCAAGTTGTTTACGGTTGTACCTATTCGCAATTTTTTTAGTTTGAAAAAACGATCTAGGATCAAGATCATCTTCCAGAAAAATTGCAATACTATCACAAAGTCTTTGCAGTTGCATCATGTGAGCAACACCCATGAGTGTTTCACGTTTTTCTTTGGCAACATAAGCATCCCCAGTGTAAATGAAATCAACACATTTTTTAACACAAACTTCATCAAATTCCTTTATTTCAACGACATCAGATTCTGTTTCAACATTTTCATGAGATAACATTGCTTTAAAATAATCGGAACTTGCCGACACAATATTCTTATGAACAGGAAGTTCCTCAGATCCAGCTTTGATCATGAAATCACAATGTCGTCCAGTTTTACGATATTCATTTAATTGTTGTAAAATTTCAACAGCATGTTCTTTAGAATCTGTATTGATTTTTTCTTCCATTTCTGAGACTTTGTCCGATAATTTAAAGTACTGCTTATGATTATACCACTAATAATAATAATACCTTAAAAAGAGAAACAATAATTAAACTAAAGACTTTACGGTCCATCACATATAAACCTCTGGAGAGAAAAAGGAAGGACTCATTTAGGTTAATTGCTTCATAAAACAATGATTACAACAAAAAAATTAAACTCTAACGAGAAGAAATGCAATAAGTACACAACCACAATGGCGAAGCTATTGACTGCTTAATTTGTGTCACAAAGGTCAATGTCAAGATGTGACAGTACATAACCTTACAACTCTCAGTTATGGAGTTTGTAGATAAAATATCAGTTTGAAAGATAGGCCATGCATATTTCTTCGGTCAAGAAATCGCTGAACAAAAATGAACATTTAATATACCGGTATTTCTATGTTTTACCACCATAATTTGCTACTATGAATGTTTTCAAAATTCCAGTTACTGTTAACTGCCTTATTGAACATGTTAATGTATCAATATCTAAAATAAAATATAATAAACCACATTACGCTATCAGAAGTTTGTATCGTAAAATCACCAAGTATGGCTGTATGATCCAGGCCATCACAAATATACCAGACTTGCTTGAACTTACCAGAAACTTATTCTTTGTTCAACCTATTGCAGAATTGTCAGCAGAACAGATAGAAGGTACCGTATAAATCAGCGGTTCCCAACCTTTCTACCCCGGCGGACCGGTAAAATTAGATAAAATGTACTCGCGGACCGGCAAAAAATTGAAATGGCCGGAACAGAAAAGAATAACATATATTTTCCCAATATAATGCAATGTCGGGCTCTTAATATGCTTCTAGACAAAAAAGCACATTTAAAAACATTTCACATGGAAAAAAACTATCAAATAATGTGCCGACTAAAAATAAAAATGGGTGAAGTATAAAATAATGCCATATATTTGCGTAATGAAATACAGTGCTGGGCACCCATTATGCGTAAGAAAGGCACGCATAAAATATCTCACATTAAAAACATGCACAATTAACTCCTGTGAGAAGTTTGCTGCTGTTTCGTTTTCAATATAAGATTGCAAACGAGGCATCAAAGAAGCTTTTGCAACACGTAGCTCTACAGCCGCGTGCAGCCGATTTCTTTGCTTCATTTTTATTGAATCTAGTGATGAAAATGTTTTTTTCGCATAACGCATTAACTGGCTGAAAAGACGAACAACAGTTTGATTGCTCGATTACTTGGCGATGGGTATTCGTTATCATCTAAAATTGTGATAAGTAATTCTTTTTTAATCTGGAATTTAAAGTAGAATCGCCATTTTAATCAAGCCTTTTCTTTTTCATTGGGTTCATCATATTAATCCCTCCGCAGTTGATCAACGCCTCAAACGAAATGAATTTGCATTACAATGACAAAATTGTCGATAACTTGGCAACAGGCTCAAAACTACTGTGTCTGAAAAAGACCTCTGCGACCCATGCTTTTTTGCGCGTCTCGTGACCACCTGTGGGGTCGCAAGATGTTCATATCTTACTGGAATATTATACTGTTCTTGACTGTTTTCAGGTTTAAACAAGGAGATATGCATTACGTTTCATATGGATGGTCATATTAATCAGGAAAAGCACGCAGAACAGAAAAAGCACGCGTGCCGATTTTTAGGCTTCTTAATTTTGCGAGATTTGCTGGAGCGCATTCGCGATGAATCGGAGCCGAAAAAGCGAGAAGTGTAAATGATCGGCGCCAAGATGTCGCGTAAGACGGCGCCAACATGTCGCGAAAGACGTCGCAATATTTCGGAGGAAGAGAATTGCGTAATGAGCCAACCAAAGTTGTCTACGGTAAAGAGATGGCATTGCGGTTGTCTACGATTGAGATGGCATAAAAACAACAAAACAACGAAATTTCTCGCGGACCGGCAGAAAAGCTTCGCGGACCGGCAACGGTCCGCGGACCGGCGGTTGGGAACCACTGGTATAAATAATATCAATAGGTTCACACATATCCGCCTATAAATATAGAGAGATACCTGAAAATAATATTTTTTTCGTTCCAAAGAATTTTGATGTTGTTTCAGTGCAATTTGAAAATCGCAAAGATCCAACAAAAAATTCAAACGATATAAAATAGTGCAATGAGCTGGTACAATAAAAATACAGCTCACAGAACAACCAGATGACATTGCAAAAAAAATCACTTAGGTAACTTATATTCAAAACATAACATGTGATATATTGCCACTTGGAAAGAACACATATATCGGTACCCAATATGACATGCAATTTATTAGCAATTTGACAATTTACAGAAATTTTAGAAAACATGGAGGAGTTTACATGTTTTGTAATATTAACATATGGATTTGCACCTAAAAAAATTGTTTAAGGAAGTATTATGTATCTAAATGTATAATTATAATCATCAAAAACCACTGGTGGTGGTCATGCAATATAACAAATGGTTAGATTTGGAACAATTTTTATTTTGCCATTATAAGATTTAAGTAATGTTCTGTCTTGATATATTAAATACATGTGATCCAATGAAAATGCTAACACATACAAAGCAAACTGTCTAATCAAACCACAATACCATATCCTCTACTATTAACAAGGGGAAACAACTTGCAGTGTGGTTGAAGTTGTGTAGATATGGCATTTTGACACAGGGTTATGTTGAATATTTATTAAATCTGCTTTAACCTTGTATTGTTTACATGTGCTGTGCTACCTATATGGCGAAAGGCAGGGGTATTTCACTTGTGATTCTCTCAATTACTGCTAAACACTACTGATTATCAGTCTTTACTGAAATACAAAATTTATATAAAAACATTATAAACCAACAATATAAAAGAAGATATGACTGATCTATGACTTTAGAAAATCACTTCTGCAATTTTACATCTGCACAAAATCTTGGCAGTATTAGGCAGAAAATCATGTATTTACCAACAGAAAATGATTTCGATGAAAGGTCAGCAAACTATACTGAAAACTCAACATAAATTGTTTAGAAATCCATTCACAAGCTCACAACATATTTATGTGACTAAACTGTTTATTGTCAAAAAGGAGTAGCTTATTGTCGTAAGAGATGTATTTTGGGTAGCAAGATGACACAAAAGCGTGGTTGATCAAACTCTTACTATTACAATCAAAAAAAACTGAACTCAAAACTAGGGGTGTGTTGTCTGAGTTTGCTATGTGTCTATTAATAATGGATTCAAGGTGTTCACTTCAAATTCCCAGGAGTCAAAATTTCAGACTTTCAAAACAGATAATCAAGGTCGGAACTTTACCCAGGAAATCAGAAACCATGTAAGCATACTCAACAGTCAACACTTACCGGTAAATAAAGTATGCATAGTAAAAAAATTATAGTTTTTTCTTAATTATTTAAAGAATTTGAAGGAAGGTGTAAATTTTTCCAGACTCCACACCACAGCTTTAGTTGATTATTCTTATATGCAAATTAAAAGATTCAGCAAATGCAACAGTCTTATATATTTTGTCAACTATTGAACCTGGAGGGAGGGAAATGCATATCAAAGGGAAAATATCAATCTTCACTGAACAAAGCACTGAAGAATATTATGATGACAAGTAGAAAAACAATGTGAATCAATGCATATACAAAACTGAACTTGAAAAATAACGACAGAGCATATAACATGAAAATGTAGAATATATTTCTGTAATGAGCCATGAACCTCAAAGATAAATGAGGCTTAGGATGAAAACCATGTTTCAGTGCAGAGAATTCGTCAGGTTGTTCAAATAATATTCCACAGATTTTTCCCAAGATATCATTTTTCTTGCATAATTCTCCAATTTCATGTTGGTATTTGCCATTGAATTTTGATGAAAGTTTGTGTAAGAAACAAACCAAAAAAGCATTTTCAAAACTACAAATAGGACGAAGATCAGCAAATACATTTGGCAAAATAGGGAATTTTTTCAATTTGTTTTGAAGCTGAAAACGGCCAGTTGGTGACAAACTCATTTTTCCATTTTCATCTAATTCATAATCTGCTATATCACTGCCATGTCCAGGTGATTTTCTTGAAACGATATCAAGTTTGGGTAATGGTAACTCAAAAATATACCAAAAAGTTTTCAAGGCATAATTCAGATTTTGCTCAATCTTTTTCTTGTCCGGTCCAATAGAACCAGAATCGTTGTTTTTAACACAGAATGTGGTTCTGTGGTTAATCTTTGAGATTAATACATGAGATTTGAGTGAAAATCTTCAAGAGCCACCATATAGGGTCCTTTAACTTGCACTCCATGTATTTGTATTCTATTTATAAGTTGGAACATTGCTCCATCCAGTCACAAGAATCGTCTCACAATACCAAAGTCTGCCATAGAAACTCCGCTTCTCACCACACACTATTTATATGTTCTGTTGATAAAGATATCTTTTTTTGAAAAATATTTCCAAGTGAATTAACACCACAGGTTTCAATGACTTGAGTTAAACTTTTACAAGTTTCTTGAATATCAAAATTCGATGAAGCCATTTGTAAGGAATCGTTGATTTCATTTCCAGCTGATCTCATGATGATAATAACTATGTTATCAAAAATGTACCATTTGTTATCTGTGAGAAAAAAATAAATTAATAATAGTATAGGGAGTTTAGATGTAAGGTAAAACACTTCAAAATCAGAAATCAAACTTATATAACACAGATTACATTTTACACAATTAAGTAAAATGAAAAATTGTAATTCTTGTTTATTCTAAACATTTTAGCAACCAAAAAATTACAAATTGAACAGTTACAGTTATCAAAAGCACATAATAAAAACAGATATATTTTATTCTTAGATATTCATAATCACCTAAAGAAGACTTTATCAAAAGCTAATGCACATAAGCAATAAAATAAAGTGGGAGTTACCGCTGCTGACACAAACCTTACTATCTGTGGCACAAAATTTCAGAATTGAGTGAAAAAATAATCTGATAGGTTCAACATAAAAAATTACGATCATAACTCTAGATAACACAATGATTTAAAACCCAATGAATAAAATAATGACAGTTAAAATAAATGCTATGTTGAAATGAAATAGGACAGGGTTGTCCAAAATGAATAGAATATTCGAAAACATTCGAATATCAAAGTATTCGAATACCTTTTTGGCTGATTTTCTAATAATTCCGAATAGTAGCCACTTTTCGCCGTTAGCGAGGTGTTTCGCTTCTAAGTGAAATCTTGAAATGATTTTCCACGCTTTGTAACGTATAGTAATCACGATGAAGTAGGATCGGCACTTAATTTGTTGGTGATCTTCTGTGCGAGTGTGCGCTTCATACTGTTGCACGATTGGCATTGCCGCTAATGACTTATCGATCTTAAGATCGGTAAGTATGTTGATAGGTATTTGTATGTCTGTTTGTGTGTATGTCTGTGTGTTAGATGCACGCGATATCTCACGTAAACCAAGGTTGAATCTGCTCCAAATTTTGCATGTGCATTCATCATATCTCGGATCAGAAGCCTATTGATTTTGGATGGATTATGTCTTATAATTAGCGAGTTATTAATTAATTAGTGATGGGACACACAGTGTCACTATGGATTAAGACCACTGTTTTGGGGGGTCCCCTAACCTTCGATCAATAAGTCTTCGGTTTCTAACCGATATTCTAGTTTATACATTTATTTCCTTCACGTCGAAAATTTGAAATTATTCAAAGCCACAATTGTTACAATACCCAATAAATTAGTCATTAGGAGTTATTAGGAAATATAGTTTATACTTTTTATCCACTTTTTGGCAACCGATTTTGATAATGATAGTTAAAAGTATCACTTTTTTACTAGGATGATTTTCTGTTGCGCAAAATATTTAGATACCAGCAATTAAAAGGCCTTGCCGTATTAATTTAATTCTGTTTAACATAAACCGTGGTTGCGTTGACTTACGAAAAAATAAAAGCATTGCTATCGTATATTAAAATATCACGGCAATCTGGAGACATAAAATGTGTGGTGAACTGCCCGATTATACCTAATCTTTGATTCTCATTTTCCTACTTGCGAAAAAATAAAAGCATTACTATTGTAAAATACGGACAGTCTGCGGTCATAAAATGTGTGGAAAACTGCCCGATTATAATTAATTTTTGATTCGAAGTTTCGTACTTACTGGAAAACAGAAGGAATTACTATACTCTAAAAAAACAGTGGCAATCTGCGGACATAAAATGTGTAGTAAACTGCCCGATTATTATCAATTTTTGATTCGTATTTTCGTACCTACTGAAATATGAAAAGCAATACTACTCGAAAATATCAGGCAATCGGTGGACATGAAATGTCTGGTAAATAGACAGGTTGTAGATAACAGTTATTCCATTGTTTATTGTATGCAGATTCCTTCATGCCATAAAATATGCTTTTTTACTTAAATTTATTTTTGCATGTATTCAAAATTTCATATTCGAAAATAATAATTTCGAAAGTATTCGAAATAGTGAACTATTCGGTAAAAAAAATTCAATGGAAAATTAGATAGATACCACTTTGAGCATAATGAATTTAAATCAACTCTTCGAAGTCAAATTTCTTGGCCATGGTTATGCTCGATAACTGGTGAAATGCAGCTGAAATAGAAATTTGGTTATTCATCCACTTTCATGATCAAATCAACAACAGAGGTTTATTTTTACTATTACTCCATTTTAGTTGATGAATAATAGGAATAAATGACGCCACAAAGGTATAACAACTGATAAGAACAGTCAATGTTACATAAATAATGCAACAGTAGCCAGTGGAGTTACATTTTTTCCTTGAATGATTTCAATAATTTTCCATTCTTTTGTTTCAGGATCATATTCCTCTATATTTGCAGGATTTCCATTTCCACCAATGACATAAACTTTCTCATCAATCACACAACTACTGAACTCCTCTCTTGCAGTTTTCATTGGTTTCAACATCATCCAGGTTTTAGTTACAGATGAACGAAATTCAACAGTATTAGTATTACTATTAACATTATAACCTCCCATAACATATATTCCTTCCTCTGTAGCAGTTGCAGAAGCACAATATCTTGCTTCATTCAATGATCTATTATCCATAGACCAAGTTGATGTGACAGGATCATAAATCTCAACTTGGTTTGTTGCTAGACTTTGCTGATTATATCCTGCAATACAAAACACCTTTCCATCAGCAGCCACCAAAGATTCATATGCTAGAATCAATGATTTGTTTGTTAGTCTGGTCCATCTATTATTTGATGGATCATATCTTTCCATAATGTTTGAGTGCCTCTGATATTCAAAACCATGAACAAAACCATCAAGTGCAACTGCATATGCATACTGAAGATTTGTATTTGCCATTTGTTCCCACTTTGCATTAAATTTAGCATATTCAAGTCTATAAAACGATCCCTTTTTACAATCACATTAATGTATGACTCCATCACTACAGCAGAATATAAATTCTGTATAATTGCTTGATCTATGGTTTGCATTGGTGTCCATGTTTTATCATCAACATCATGAGAATGCATTCTATGAGAAGTTTTGTCAAAAACAACAAGCTGTTTGTTCTCTGTGAAATTGAAATCTTTTGATTTGACATTCCCAGTACTGTCTAAAATTGACAAAGTCAATGACTGGAGAGCTTTTCCAGATTCAAGTATTAATGGTTCATTTTCAACAAGAAATCTTCTATATGACAAAGTCATTTTCGTCAATTGAAATTTCATCACCAAACTAAGAAAACATTCTTTTCTTTCATCAATATCATGTTTGGTCCATGCTAACAACATCTTACATTTCCCTTCTTCCTTTGCTTTTGTTTCCTTCGATTCCATCAGAAATGAAATAAATTTTTCATCAAGATCCATGAACTCATCAGACTGGGCAATTTCTTTAAAACCTTGCAATGCAAATTGATTGCATTTTTCCTCAACTTGTTTACAGTTGTACCTATTCGCAATTTTTTTAGTTTGAAAAAACGATCTAGGATCAAGATCATCTTCCAGAAAAATTGCGATACTATCACAAAGTCTTTGCAGCTGCATCATGTGAGCGACACCCATGAGTGTTTCACGTTTTTCTTTGGCAACATAAGCATCCCCAGTGTAAATGAAATCAACACATTTTTTAACACAAACTTCATCAAATTCCTTTATTTCAACGACACCAGATTTTGTTTCAACATTTTCGTAAGATAACATTGCTTTAAAATAATCGGAACTTGCCGACACAATATTCTTATGAACAGGAAGTTCCTCAGATCCAGCTTTGATCATGAAATCACAATGACGTCCAGTTTTACGATATTCATTTAATTGTTGTAAAATTTCAACAGCATGTTCTCTAGAATCTGTATTGATTTTTTCTTCCATTTCTGAGACAATCTTTGTTTGATTATATGAATAACTATGTATGATACTACTACTATTGATGAAAAGACCTTGGACAATAGAAAAAAGAAAATTAATTTGAAGATACAGTATTTAATTAGACATTACAGTTAATCAAAAATATGCGTCAAGCGAGGTGTGACTCAACATGCAAAGCAATAGGAATAAGCTCGCCACCGCACCTCTGATTACTCTGCGTGGGTTCGCATCTCATGCGAGGATGGTTATGTTGAGAGAATTTTTGTTCTAAAAACCTCCCCGGGATAAATATGTGAATCCTATCCTTATGTAAATCTTAACTCACTTGAAAAGTAAACTACACCATGCATGTTTTTTGCATATGTATCTGATGAAAATATTACCGGTTGGAAACAATTAACTTGACTATTACTTATTTTTTTCTCGCCAAATAAATTCCAATGCCAAACTGAATTTTCATATTAAAGCTAAGATCTGAAGCCTGAGTCAACTCAAAATTCAGGCCTGATCAGGCCTGAAATGTCAATCCTTAGGTTTAGGTCGGGCTTCTCTATCGGTGACTCTTTTTAAATGAGGCGTTTCGGCCGCGTTTTGGCCACGAGAGACCGTGGTTTGCAGAAGTTGTCTGATCAACTCTTGCAATGACAATTCGATGAACTAAATAAAATAGAAACTTTCGGGTTTGCTTCGGGCCTGCAAATCCAGTTAATTAGTCGGGCTTGGGTCGGGTTCAATACCAACGGGCCTGGGTCGGGCCGGAATTTTTGGCCTAATCTTACCTCTATTTCGTATAGAGATTTTAGTGTCGAATTAGTATAAGTTGCCCCAAATTAAACAGTTTTATAATTTCAAACACATTTCCCACAAGTTCAAGTAATATATGTAACAATTAAATTATAAAACCATACCATCACCGGAGTTTTGTATCATATATAATACAATATATGTCAATTGAAAATAAGTTAATCCATATTATCATACAGTTGTCATCCAATTCGTGCACACATTTTATATATGTTTACCAATAATTGATCGATTTACGGTAGTTCATTTAGATAGAAAATCTAACAAAGTGGTGTTTTGGCACTTTTCTATTCACTATCTATCTATGAATTAAATCAAAATGATGCATAAATTTGGACATTTGAATCCTCCCATATATTCATCAAAGCTGGTGTTGCATAAAAAATGTCACATCATGATTGATCTATGTATGAGATCATTCATGTGTTCATACAATATTAAATCATTTCTTTTCCTTGTTTCCAATATATTCAAAATTTCTATCAGTTAACATTTGAAAATTGAAAGCATAGTACTCCTACTTTTAACTATTTCATCATTTCGATATTCCCGAATTGTTGATTTTTCGCATACTTTTGTGATTCATTTGCTAAAATAGTATTTTGATTATTTTCTATGCAAAACAGAAAAAAAATTTGCAATGAATTGGGGCACATATTTATTTATTTTTTTAGTTGGGGTACCGGTACCACGACAGCAAATTAAAAACACAAACCAAGGCATGTAGGTTATAATGGCAGGTCTGCCCCTGCTAGTGACACATTTTAGGTAATGCAATTTAGAACATTTTCCATATGGATACAGTTTTAATTGATTTAGCTTTAGGGTTAGATAATAAAAAAGTAGATAAAATTTCGCATGATGACCTAGAATCCGCGGGTCTAGTATAGTATAGTACCACAAGTACTTCCAGTGGGTGTAGCATAACGAATTTTGCATATGTTATTCCTAATCCCCACCTGATTTTGCCATCCAAAAATTACGTCACTAGGACGTCACCGTCACGTGATATGGCTTGCCAAAGTATAATTACAATCGCCCGAAATTGCATCTGCGCCGCCGATAACGAACTCGCTAACGCCGACGATCCCTCTCCTATGGTGATCGTTGTGATGAAAAAACGAGAGAACTAGCTTGCTCGATTTCGGGTGATCGTCTGCGCGATTTGGACGACCATCCTCATACTTTGGTGGGTCTTATTACGCCTCTGTGACGTCCAAATGACGTAATTTTCCGGTGACGTAGTCAGGTTGGGGTTAGGATTAACATATGCAAAAATTGTTGAGCCAGGCCAACTAGAAGTGCATGTGGTACTAAACTATACCAGACCCGAATCCGCTACATAACCTTGTAAAAATATCCGAATAGCACAATAAAACCATGGCGAGAAGCACCGTTGTTCTTTCGTGGCAGGAGTCGTCATATGGTAATAACTGCTTCTCCTGTTTTGCGCTGGTTTCCTTCTGTTTTGCGCTATTTTCCTCTGTTATGCGCAGTTTCCCTCTGTTTTGCGGTGTTTCGCGCTGTACGGTATTCAGTAAGTAGTAAGATACCAAAAATTAATGACATAAAGTCTCTTCAATATTGCATTCACACATATACCTAATTCATTGATGAATAAAAATAAACTCATACCGGTATGTCCAGAATGCCGAAACAAAATGCACCGTGTTGTATTCCCCACAACACAACACCTTCCTACCTGTTGTCCGTGAAACGGGGAATACCCTAACTATCTGGTGTTGGATTGTGTGACTCTTGGATACCATCCAGTGTGATCACGATTGCTCGACAATAACAGATCACCAAAAATATTAATTAAAATATGATTTCCCGATCTTCTAGATTCTAATTGGATATGAAGTGTACATATGGATCGTTTTGTTATTATGTTGTTGTTGTTGTGAAAAAATATCTTTCCTCATTACCTACTGGAGGAATTGTTTTAAAATTTCCATTGGGTTAAGATTGTATTTTTTGCTAAAAGTCTATGACTTTCACATATTTTAAAAAATTCTGTTGGCTTTTAAGTATTCAGTTTTTGTGTGCGACGACATCAAAATAAAAAACTACTCCACTTCTTAAACTTTCCCACAATTCCAGAATCTACTGGTGTTCTAGGTATGAAAAACTTTTTATAAAACTTTAAGCCATTGATCTATTTTGAATCCAACTCGAGGACATTTAAAATAGTGGTTTTTAGCCAATATCGCAATGAGTTTATTAAACTGCCAACTCCACAGTCTGATATCAATTCCACTTTTTGCCAAACAATAATGACATGTGTTGTCTGTGTAGATCTTTATCAAAATTATGCATCAAATCATCCTCAACAACCTTTTGGGAAATTACCGAGTGATAAATCAAGCATGTTAAGAAGACAAGCAGGAACTTCGCGACCATCAGAAAATATTTAATTTCTTTTTCAGCTGATCTAATTATGATATTAATATTGCAAATTAAAGCTGTGAAAAATTGCATAAATAATACCAGTAAGAATTTGTCAGAAGATTAACTACGAGCATCAAAATGAAAATTTATATTTCCTTCGAGTACCTTATATATTACATAAAGCAATAACAATTTCACTGACACAGTATATTTTATCAAGTTCAGTGAATTAGTCAATATGAATATACTACAATAATAGAATATTCAACAAAACCATATTCAACCATTCTTTTATTACAGAATGTCTGTTAATCAGGAATTGAAATCAATAAATAATAATGATATTTCATGGCTCATTAGTTGCCAAGAAATTCTTGAAAATGAAAATTTCTCAAAATCATCATCATTTTCAGAATAGAAATATCCGAAGTTGAATAATTGTTCTCAGCCTAGAAGGCCACAACAAGTTTGTTATGACGTTATACAGATGATGGTATGAAATGAGCCTCACCTCAAAAAGATACAAAATACCAATAATGCATTGGACAACAGTGAGCAGCAGAAGGTCATGGCTAAGGCATGTTTGAATAAACACTATTCCTCCTAAACCCAAAAGTTTTGTATTTTCTTTTATTTGTACAATGGGGACCATGTAATAATAGATTTATCGCAACTAGCCTGAATATGACAATTCATAATGTAGATCATAGATATTAATAAACCTATTTTAAAAAAGAGCATATTAGGTATCGTAATTGATTATATCAGGAAAACAGTGGAAACAAAATTAATATTTCAAAAAAATACAGTGATTATCACTAAAGCAAATGATTATTTAATATTAACTCATTCTGAGCAATAATTGAAAAACTTGAATTGTTGTGTTGAACTAAGATCAAATGAAATTTTTCAAAACAATTTAGGCATTGTGAATAAAAGAATTTCAAATTATTAAACCATGATTCATAAATAAAAATTGAAATTGGTCAACGTCCCATTGTGGCATGTCACAAAATTGAATGAAATAATGAAAAAATAGAAAATGTCGAAGAATACCAAATTAAAATCTTGATCATTAACAGTTCAATAATATAATAAATTAGGGAAAATAAGAAACCATTAATAAGATTCGAATAACAACTTCTTAATAAAATCAGGTAATGTTTAGCATCAGGCTGTCAAATTATCAATAGTGTTAGATAAATGTATGAAAAAATTCAATAAACTTAATATTAAATCATACATTCATTCTTAAGCTAACTATAACTTAATACTAGAACATAAGATAGATAAATAAATAAATATTTGATAAATTTAAATTATTTAGCTGGGTATTATGATGCACGAAAATTAGGTTTCTAGCCCTCATCATTTTATGATAAAAATTTGGGAAAAAATTAGAAATGTTGACAGGAATTTTTTAATAAGCATATGAGAGCCATATATGTCCAGGAATATAAGCTTTCAATGTTATATAGATATTGCAACTGTTGCTCTTGGAAAAATATTTTTTCCTTGTATTGTTTCAATGATTTTCCATTCTTTTGTTTCAGGATCATATTCCTCTATATTTGCAGAATTTCCATTTCCACCAATGACATAAACTTTCTTATCAATCACACAACTACTGAAGTCTCGTCTTGCATTTTTCATTGATTTCAACATCATCCAGGTTTTAGTTACAGATGAACGAAATTCAACAGTACTGAGATTTGAACCTCTATTAGGATTATAACCTCCCATAATATATATTCCTTCCTCTGTAGCTGTTGCAAAAGCTTGATATCTTGCTTCATTCAATGATCCATTATCCATTGACCAAGTTGATGTGACAGGATCATAAATCTCAACTTGATTTGTTGCTTGACCTTGCTGATTAGAATATCCTGCAATACAAAACACCTTTCCATCAGCAGCCACCAAAGATTCATTAGCCAGAATCAATGATTTGTTTGTTAGTTTGGTCCATCTATTATTTGATGGATCATATCTTTCTATACTGTTTGAGTAAGAATTATACTCAATACCATAAACAAAACCATCAAGTGCAACTGCACATGCCCAATGAAGATTTGTATTTGCCATTTGTTCCCACTTTGCATTTGATTCAGCATATTCAAGTCTATAAAACGATCCATTTCTACAAATCACATAAATGTAAGATTCCATCACTACAGCAGAATATAAATTCTGTATAATTGCTTGATCTATGGTTTGCATTGGTGTCCATGTTTTATCATCAACATTATGAGAATGCATTCTTTGAGAAGTTTGATCGAAAACAACAAGCTGTTTATTCTCAGTTAAATCGACATCTTTTGAAATAGTATCTCCAAGATGGCTGTCTAGAATTGACAAAGTCAATGACTGAAGAGATTTTGCAGATTTAAATATCAGTGGTTCATTTTCAACAAGAAATCGCCTATATGACAAAGTCATTTTTGTCAACTGAAATTTCATCACTAAACTAAGAAAACATTCTTTTCTTTCATCAATATCATGTTTGGTCCACGCTAACAACATTTTACATTTTACTCCTTCCTTTGCTTTTGTTTCCTTTGATTCCATCAGAAATGAAACAAATTTTTCATCAAGATCCATAAACTCATCAGACTGAGCAATTTCTTTAAAACGTTGCAATGCAAATTGATTGCATTTTTCCTCAAGTTGTTTACAGTTGTACCTATTCGCAATTTCTTTAGTTTGAAAAAACGATCTAGGATCAAGATCATCTTCCAGAAAAATTGCGATACTATCACAAAGTCTTTGCAGCTGCATCATGTGAGCGACACCCATTAGTGTTTCGCGTTTTTCTTTGGCAACATAAGCATCCCCAGTGTAAATGAAATCAACACATTTTTTAACACAAACTTCATCAAATTCCTTCATTTCAACGACACCAGATTTTGTTTCAACATTTTCATGAGATAGCATTGCTTTAAAATAATTGGAACTTGCCGACACAATATTCTTATGAACAGGAAGTTCCTCAGATCCAGCTTTGATCATGAAATCACAATGACGTCCAGTTTTACGATATTCATTTAATTGTTGTAAAATTTCAAAAGCATGTTCTTTGGAATCTGTATTGATTTTTTCTTCCATTTTTGAGATGACTTGGTTTGATTTTATAAAGAATTTTATGATACTACTACCATTATTGAAAAGACCTTAAACAATAGAAAAAAATAATTAATTTAAAGATACGATTATTAATTAGACATTACAGTCAATTGAAAATAAACCTCAATATTACAAAAAAAAGTTTTCATCACCAAGTACAACTGCATGATCCAGACCATCTTACATATATCAGAATTGCTTGAACTGAGCAAAACAGAAAAACTTAAAATTTGTTCGACCAACTGTTGAATTGGCAACATAACGGATAAACGTTGCTGTACCAAGAACATCAAATACACCTATCAAATCCATATGTCTGAAAATACAATTCTCTTGTGGAATGTACAATGCAAGTACCGGTATCATGTAATAATAATAGTTTAAATTGGTTTGTTCTCGAGATGTATCGAAGCCTAAAAACCTGAACTGACACTCCAATATAGTTTTATTATCTATTAATTCATATATATTGCAGTATAATGCGCCTATCCAAATGCTAGCTCATGATATTATATGTTTCATTCTAATTCTGTTATTTCATATTTGAGTACTGGTATCATACTCTATATGGGCATGTTAAACAACTAATGTTTAATGGAATTCATTCCGTCATTAGCCTGTCTAAACCTGTTTTCTATCAACTTTTTTCTCCAGTCTTCCAATCTCCAGCCCACTACAGATGATCATAATTTCAATTAGGTTTAGTTGGATAACAGGCTTTTCGCATGTTTTTTTGCATTTGTGTCTGTTTAATATATTACCGGTTGAAAAGAATCAAATTTGACTGACTTTTTTTTTCTTGCCAAATAAATTCCAATGTTAAACTGAATTTTCATATCAAAGCTAACTGAAGCCTGGCAACCGTTCGGCCTCAGGCCTAAATGTCAATCCTTACATTTGGGTCGGGCTTCTCTATCGGTGACTCTTTTTAAATGAGGCGTTTTGGCCACGAGAGACCGTGGTTTGCAGAAGTTGCCTCATCAACTCTTGCAATGACAATTCGATGAACTAAATAAAATAGGAACTTTCCGGTTTGCTTCGGGCCTGCAAATCCAGTTAATTAGTCATGCTTGGGTCGGGTTTAATACCCACGGGCCTGGGTCGGGTCGGATTTTTTAGCCCAATTTTACCTTTATTTCGTATAAAGGTTTTAGTGTCGAATTAGTATAAGTTGCCCCAAATTAAACAGTTTTATAAGTTCGAACACATTTCCCACATGTTCAAATAATATATGTAACAAATGAGTTAATCCATATTATCATAGAGATGTCATCGAATTCGTGCACACATTTCATAGATATTTACCCCTAATTAATCGAATTAGTTAATTTTTGCATAGAAATTAGAAAATTAGACAGAAAACATCCAAAGTGAGTGTTTTGGCATTTTCTATTCACTATCTATCACTTGACTCAATATCTCAAATATTTCCCACAAACACAACACCTTCTTTTATTTTTCTTACCAAATAAATTCCAATGCTAAATGGAACACTTTCATAATTTCAAACAACACATTAGTGTGCAGCAAGACTATTTATTGAATTACTCAGGATAGTTATCATCACTCTCGCTACAGCATCCTCGCATTATATGCATACGGATCCACCGACGCAAAAGCATAGAAAACGGAAAAGTAGTTGATCTTGTAGAAACCCAATCGATAGCACAAGTTAACATTCCCCACAAGTTCAAACAATATATGTAACAATTAAAATATAAAACAATACCATCACCGGAGTTTTGTATCATATATAATACAATATATGTCAATTGAAAATAAGTTAATCCATATTATCATACAGTTGTCCTCGAATTAGTGCACATATTTTATATATATTTAGCACTAATTGATCAATTTGGTTAATTTAGATAGAAAATCAAACAACAAAGTAGGTGTTTTGGCATTTTTTCCTATTCACTATTTATCTATGAATTAATTAAATCAAAATGATGCATAAATTTGGACATTTGAACCTTCCCATATATTCATCAAAGCTGGTGTTGCATAAAAAATGTCACATCATGATTGATCTATGTATGAGATCATCCATGTGTTCATACAATAATAAATCAGTTCTTTCACTTGTTTTCAATATATTTAAAATTACTATCAGTTAACATTTGAAAATTGAACGCATGGTACTTCTACTTCAACTATTTCAACATATTTTACTGAATTTTGATATTCCCAAATTGTTGATTTTTCGCATACTTTTGTGATTCATTTGCTAAAATAGTATTTTGATTATTTTCTATGCAACAGCCCATTGACATTCCAAAAATAAACGGTCTTACTACTTACTGAATACAGCGCGAAACAGAGGAGAACAGCACACAAAACAGAGGGAAACAGCGCAAAACAAAAAAAAAATTTGCAATGAGTTGGGGCACATAATTATTTATTTTTTTGTTGGGGTACCACGGCAGCAAATTAAAAACACAAACCAAGGCATGTAGGTTGTAATGGCAAGTCTGCCCCTGCTAGTGACACATTTTGGGTAATGCAATTTAGAACATTTTCCATATGGATACAGTTTTAATTGATTTAGGTTAGGATTTACATATTTATCCCGGGGGAGAGGAAAGCCGATAAGACAGCTTAATCACATGGCGAACCACGGCCTCTTGTCCGGTTGCCAGTCCAGGTCAGGTATGGGATTAGTTAGCCGGTTATTTGTTTTCGGAAGCATGGACTTGCTGGTGGAGGAAGCCGTAACCGACCAGCAGTTACGCGAACCACCCTGTATGGCGACGAGGAGTCCAGCAATCCTCTCGCACATGATCATCCCCGCATGGGATTCGAACCTGCGATCCCACGAAGGGTAATCAGAGATGCGGTGGCGAGCGTATTCCTAACGCTTAGCACGATGTGCCACACCTCCGACTTTAGGGTTAGATGAAAAAAAAGTAGATAAAATTTCGCATGATGATCTAGAAACCGGCACATAACTTTGTAAATATACCCGCCATAAAACCGTGGCGAGAGGCGCAGTGGTTCTTTCGTGGCAGGAGCAGTCATGCCGTGGCAATAACTGCGTCTCCTGTTATGCGCTGTTTCCTCTGTTTTGCGCTGTATTCAGTAAGTAGTAAGACCCCAAAAATAAATGACATAAAGTCTCTTCAATATTGCATTCACACATATACCTAGTTCATTGATGAATAAAAATAAACTTACAACGGTATATCCAGAATGCAGAAACAAAATGCACCGTGTTGTATTTCCCACAACACAACACCTTCCTGCCTGTTGTCCGTGAAACGGGAAATACCCTAACTATCTGGTGTTGGATTGAGTGACTCTTGGATACCATCCAGTGTGATTACGATTGCTCGACAATGACAGACCACCAAAAATATAATTCCCCGATCTTCTAGATTCTAATTGGATATGAAGTGTACATATGGATCGTTTTGTTATTATGTTGTTGTTGCTGTGAAAAAATATCTTTCCTCATTACCTGCTAGAGGAATTGCTTTGAAATTTCCAGTGGTTAAAAGATTGTATTTTTCGCTAAAAGTCTATCACTTTCATATATTTCAACAATTTCTGCTGGCTCTTTAGTATTTAGTTTTTGTGTGCGATGACATCATCAAAATTTAAAACTACTCCCCTTTTTAAACTTTCTCACAATTCCATAATCTACTGGTGTTCTAGGTATGAAAAAATTTAAGTTTAGGCCATTAATCTATTTTGAATCCAACTCAAGGACATTTGAAATACAGCTGTTTCAAGCAAATATCAAAATGAGTTTATTAACTGCCAACTTCACAGCCTGATATCAATTCCACTTTATGCCAAACAATAATGACATGTGTGGTCTGCATAAAACTTTATCAAAAATGTGCATCAAATCATCTTCAACAATCTTTTGGGAAATTGTTGAGTGACGAATCAAGCATGTTATGAAGACAAGCAGGAACTTCGCGACCATGAGATAATAATTTAATTTCTTTCTCAGCCGATCTAATTATGATATCAATATTGCAAATTACACCCCTGAAAAATTACATAAATAATGCCAGTAAGAATTTATCAGAGATTAACTACAAGCATCAAAATGAAAATTTATATTTCCTTCTCTTACTTTTTATACATAACGTAATAACAATGACAATTCACAAACACGGTATATTTTATCAAGTTCAGTGAATTAGTAAATATTGATATACTACAATAATAAAATTTGAAGAATATTCGATAAAATCATATTTTCTTTAATACATAACTTATTGTCTGGTAATCAGGAATTGAAATCAATAATTAATGATTATATTTCATGGCTCACTAGATGGCAAGGAAATTCACGGAAATGAAATTTTCTCAAAAATTATCATCATTTTCAGAATAGAAATATCAGAAGTTGAATAATTGTACTCAATCTAGAAGGCCACAACAAGTCTGTTATGACGTTATACAGATGATAGTATGAAATAAGTCTCATCTCAAAAAGATACAAAATACTAACAATGCATTGGACAACAGTCATAGTGATCAGCAAGTAAGGTCATTACTGAGACATGTCTGAAATAAACACTACTCCTCCAAACCCAAAAGCTTTGTATTTTCTTTCATTTGTAATAACAGATTAGCAAAAATTTGATATTGGATGGACAGAACCCAATTTGTGCAGTAGGGGCCATGTAATAAAAGCTTTATTGCCACTAACCTAAATATTCCATTTACCAAAAACACAATTTTTTTGGTCAGTTACTCAAAGAATAAAAGCATGAATAATAATTAACGCATGCATATCTTCGAACTATTATATCAAAAAAGCAGTGGAATGATAATAATTGAAAAATACAGTGATTTCGAAGGAATGAGCTTTTAATATAAATAACCCCGCTGGATCATAAAGATAAAAACTTGAATTCATGTATGGAACTAAAATCAGATAGGCCCCATCGTAAACAATTAATGCGAGGTAATGAGAAAGATTTGATTACAACCCATAACATACCAACCATGAAAAATAATATGGGGTAATCCTCTGTAATCTGATATATCACAAAATTGAATAAAATATTGAAAATGATACATTTTCAAGAATTAGAGATTAAATTGTTGACCATAATTAGGGTTGTCCAAAATCGAATATTTTTTATTCGAATCGAACCGAATATTTTTCTCGAATCAAACCGAATATTATTGCGCAATCCTAAATTTGTCTTTAATTACAATAAAAACTCCTCTTCATATTGTGCTAAGTATGTGCAGTTATATCTAAATTGTTGCAAATATTTTGCATAACTATGTTTCCAAGAGTTATAAAAGGAGATCACAATCCTCCTTCAACTGGTCAAAAAAACTATCAAGTTTTAACAGTTGAAAATTGCACAGATTCTTTCAATGCTCGTAGTTGCTATTTTAGTCCTATTATCATTAGTATTATTAACTCAATATTTTTTGTGTAATTTTCAGTAAAGTGATAAACAATTATTAATATAGATATAACTGTTGCCCAAAAAATTCAAATTTGCATTTCGGGAACTCACAAATTCAGAGATAGTTTGATGACATTAATATTTGATGACCATATTGTTGCAGTACAACAGCCATCAACTCATAAAAGTGCAATTATTTGTCATAGTAATAAATGGATGAAACAAAGTATTGCCTATAAGAAACAAGAGACCTATGCTCAAATATATGGACACGTTGCGCCACCAAATGGCAATAATTTATATGACGTAATAGCGGAAAAAAAAAGTAATAGCCTTCTGGAGAAAAATTTTATCTTTAACCACTGAAAATTTCAAAGCAATTGGTCCAGTATTCGAAGAGAAAAGCGATTTTTTAATGATAATGACGAAAGAAAATACCAATAACAACAAAATTTTGAAACGATCGTTATGGCCACTAAACGTGTCCAATTACAAATTTTATTGGAAAAAGATATTGGACCTTCAAAACGTGTTTCAGTCCTGTACCGTGTTCCTATGATTACTGACTCAACAGCTACAAATCGATTCTATTTATAGAACTGGCGTTTTTTGGCTGACACAAAATTTGCCTTTTTTTCCTTGTGTTCTCTCAAAAAACATCATCTTTAAATCATTGTTACCGATAACTTTTCATTTATGACCATGCATGGAATGGATAATTACATGTCACCGGGCAATAGGAGAGACCTTTTTACATCAAAGAAAGCGATAGAAACATGTTTTTGCTCGCCCGTGAAAAACGCTGTGCAAAAGTGGTCGTGAGGCGCATTATGTGCCAAATTTTAGCGATTCGTAAATTGGCCGAAAAACGCTTCGAATAATTTGTGATTAGATTCGATTTCGAATATTTGGTTCGCTTGGACAGCCCTAACCATAATAAATGTAATGATATATATACAAAAAAAAATTAACACAACAAATACGAAAGTAATTTTCACTTGTCACGTCCAAATAAAATAGTTAATGATTGACTAACCAAGCAATCGAATTATCAATATTGATATTGGCGATCTGTAAAGAGAGATTATTCAAGCTATATCTTCAAACATTCTGTGAATTTGTTCTTACGCTAAAATCTATTGAAGAAAAATAATCAAATATAACTTTTCGTCGAAAGAATTATTCGATCTACATATTACCACACAAATGATTAATTTACTGGTTTTCCATAATTCTGCAAATAAATTTTAAATTTCAGATAAAAATCAGAAAAATTGTAGGTATATTCAAATAAGATTATGAGAAGTCATATTTGTCCCTATATAAGAGTAATTGATGCTATATAGATATTACAACAGTTGCCAGTGGAGTTATACTTTTTCCTTGTATTGTTTCAATGATTTTCCATTCCTTTTTTTCCGGATCATATTCCTTTATATCTGCAGGATTTCCATTTCCACCAATGACATAAACTTTCTCATCAATCACACAACTACTGAAATATTGCCTTGCGTTTTTCATTGGTTTCAACATCACCCAGGTTTTAGTTAAAGATGAACGAAATTCAGCAGTAGTGAGAGTTGAGCTTCCATTAACATTATACCCTCCCATAACATATATTCCTTCCTCTGTAGCAGTAGCACAAGCACAATATCTTGCTTCATTCAATGATCTATTATCCATTGACCAAGTTGATGTGACAGGATCATAAATCTCAACTTGGTTTGTTGCTTGACGTTGCTGATTAGAATATCCTGCAATACAAAACACCTTTCCATCAGCAGCCACCAAAGATTCATTAGCCAGAATGAATGATTTGTTTGGAAGTCTGGTCCATCTATTATTTGATGGATCATATCTTTCCATAATGTTTGAGTAAATTCCATACTCAATGCCATACACAAAACCATCAAGTGCAACTGCACATACATTCTGAAGATTTGTATTTGCCATTTGTTCCCACTTTGCACTTGATTCAGCATATTCAAGTCTATAAAACGATCCATTTCTACAAATCACATAAATATAAGATTGCATCACTACAGCAGAATATAATGTATTCTGTATAATTGCTTGATCTATGGTTTGCATTGGTGTCCATGTTTTATCATCAACATCATGTGAATGCATTCTTTGAGAAGTTTCGTCAAAAACAACAAGCTGTTTATTCTCTGTCAAATTGAAATCTTTTGAACTGATATCCCCATGATGGCTGTCAAAAACTGACAAAGTCAATGACTGAAGAGATTTTCCAGATTCAAGTATTAGTGGTTCATTTTCTACAAGAAATCTTCTATATGACAAAGTCATTTTTGTCAACTGGAATTTCGTCACCAAACTAAGAAAACATTCCTTTCTTCCATCAATATCATGTTTGGTCCATGCTAACAACATCTTACATTTCCCTTCTTCCTTTGCTTTTGTTTTTTTGGACTCCATCAGAAATGAAATAAATTTTTCATCAAGATCCATAAACTCATCAGACTGGGCAATTTCTGTAAAACGTTGCAATGCAAATTGATTGCATTTTTCCTCAAGTTGTTTACAGTTGTATCTATTTGCAATTTTTTTAGTTTGAAAAAACGATGTAGAATCAAGATCCTCTTCCAGAAAAATTGCGATACTATCACAAAGTCTTTCCAGCTGCATCATATGAGCGACACCCATGAGTGTTTCACGTTTTTCTTTGGCAACATAAGCATCCCCAGTGTAAATGAAATCAACACATTTTTTAACACAAACTTCATCAAATTCCTTTATTTCAACGACACCAGATTTTGTTTCAACATTTTCATGAGATAACATTGCTTTAAAATAATCGGAACTTGCCGACACAATATTCTTATGAACAGGAAGTTCCTCAGATCCAGCTTTAATCATGAAATCACAATGACGTCCAGTTTTACGATATTCATTTAATTGTTGTAAAATTTTAACAGCATGTTCTTTAGAATCTGTATCGATTTTTTCTTCCATTTCTGAGATGACTTTGTTCGATTTTATAAAGTAATGCTTATGCCTATACCACTATTAATAATATTACCTTAAACAATAGAAAAACTATAATTGAAAGAGATTGCTTTATGCAACAATGACTACAATAGAAAAAATGAAACTATAACTAAAGGCAATGCCTGATCAAAAAGGTACACATCACAATCTCGGAGCTATGAAAAGAATGATGTGGAATATTGACTGCTTAAACTGAAGCTCCTCAGAATATCCGAAGGCATCATGACAATCAGGCGCGCAGCCAGGATTTTCAAAAGGGGGGGGGGTTTCATAATCATAAATTCCCATTGCGGTCTGTAAGTCTTCGCATTACGCGCTCGTTAAAGGGACGTCTTTTCAGCGTATAATGATTATTCTTGTCACGTGAAATATTCAATCTCTGACAACTGCAAAATTCTAAAATGTCTTTATATATTAGTTTAATTGTGTCCAACGTAACTCGCGGTTGCTTCTTCTTACGTCAAAATTAAAACATTAGTTCTCTGAAATGCCACGGCGATCGGTGGACATAAAAATATGAGATAAACGGTGTATTTAATTTTAATACGTATTTTTTGAAATCTTGCTAACTCGTTATATATATCTCCTCCAAACCTAAAAGTTTTTTATTTTTTTTTATTTGTATTAATAAATTTGTGCAGTAGGGGCCATGTAATAAAAGCTTTATTGCCACTAACCTGAATATTCCATTTACAAAAACACAATTGTTTTGGTCAAGCATGAATAAAATAATTAACGCATGCATATCTTCGAACTAGTTATATCAAAAACGCAGTGGAATGATAATAATTGAAAAATACAGTGATTTCGAAGAAATGAGTATTTACTATAAATAACCCCAATGGATCATAAAGATGAACTCGAATTATTGTATGAAACTAAAATCGGATAGGCCCCATCATAAATAATTAGCGAGTTTATGCGAGTTCATAAGAAAGATATGATTACAACACATACCATACCAAGCATAAAAAAAGAATATGGGGTAAGGACTTATCACAGTATTGAATAAAATTTAGAAAACGATACATTCTCAACAATTGGAGATTAAATTGTTGACCATAATAAATGAATGAAAAAAAAACAATAAAAATATCAACACTACCAATATCAAATATAACTTTTTGTCAAAGGAATTATTCTTTCTAAATATTACAACACAAATGAATAATTTACTAGTTTCCATAATTCTGCAAACAAATTTAATTTCAGAGTAAATCAGAAAATTGATAGGTATATTCAATAAAATTATGAGAGTCATATTTGTCCTAGTATGAGAGTAATTAATGCTATATAGATACTGCAACCGTTGCCAATGGAGTTATATTTTTTCCTTGCATTGTTTCAATGATTTTCCATTCTTTTGCTTCTGGGTCATATTCCTCTATATTTGCAGGATTTCCATTTCCACCAATGACATAAACTTTCTCATCAATCACACAACTACTGAACTCCTCTGCTCTTGCATTTTTCATTGGTTTCAACATCATCCAGGTTTTAGTTACAGATGAACGAAATTCAGCAGTAGTGAGAGTTGGTCTTACATCAACATTATACCCTCCCATAACATATATTCCTTCCTCTGTAGCAGTTGCAGAAGCACAATATCTTGCTTCATTCAATGATCTATTATCCATTGACCAAGTTGATGTGACAGGATCATAAATCTCAACTTGGTTTGTTGCTTGACCTTGCTGATTATATCCTGCAATACAAAACACCTTTCCATCAGCAGCCACCAAAGATAAATAAGCTAGAGCCAATGATTTGTTTGTTAGTCTGGTCCATCTATTATTTGATGGATCATATCTTTCCATAATGTTTGAGTGCTTTCCATACTCAATACCATAAACAAAACCCTCTAGTGCAACTACACATGCATTCTGAGGATTTGGATTTGTCATTTGTTCCCACTTTGCATTTGATTCAGCATATTCAAGTCTATAAAACGATCCATTTGTACAAATGACATAAATGTAAGATTCCATCACTACAGCAGAACATAATGTATTCTGTATAATTGCTTGATCTATGGTTTGCATCGGTTTCCATGTTTTATCACCAACATCATGGGAATGCATTCTTTGAGAAGTTTGGTCAAAAACAACAAGCTGTTTATTGTTTGTCAAATTGACATCTTTTGAACTGACATCCCCATGACTATCAAAAACCGACAAAGTCAGTGATCGAAGAGATTGCATGGATTCAAACATCAATGGTTCATTTTCTACAAGAAATCTTCTATATGACAAAGTCATTTTTGTCAACTGAAATTTCATCGCCAAACTAAGAAAACATTCTTTTCTTTCATCAATATCATGTTTGGTCCATGCTAACAACATCTTACATTTCACTTCTTCTTTTGCTTTTGTTTCCTTTGATTCCATCAGAAAAGAAATAAATTTTTCATCAAGATCCATAAACTCATCAGACTGGGCAATTTCTTTAAAATGTTGCAATGCAAATTGATTGCATTTTTCTTCAAGTTGTTTACAGTTGTAACTATTCGCAATTTTTTTAGTTTGAAAAAACGATCTAGAATCAAGATCATCTTCCAGAAAAATTGCGATACTATCACAAAGTCTTTGCAGCTGCATCATGTGAGCGACACCCATGAGTGTTTCACGTTTATCTCTGGCAACATAAGCATCCCCAGTGTAAATGAAATCAACACATTTTTTAACACAAACTTCATCAAATTCCTTTATTTCAACGACACCAGATTTTGTTTCAACATTTTCATGAGATAACATTGCTTTAAAATAATCGGAACTTGCCGACACAATATTCTTATGAACAGGAAGTTCCTCAGATCCAGCTTTAATCATGAAATCACAATGACGTCCAGTTTTACGATATTCATTTAATTGTTGTAAAATTTCAAAAGCATGTTCTTTAGAATCTGTATCGATTTTTTCTTCCATTTCTGAGATGACTTTGTTCGATTTTATAAAGTACTGCTTATGCCTATACCACTATTAATAATAATACCTTAAACAATAGAAAAACTATAATTGAAAGAGATTGCTTTATGCAACAATGAATACAATAGAAAAAAATGAAACTATAACTAAAGGCAATGCCTGATCAAAAAAGTACACATCACAATCTCGGAGCTATGAAAAGAATGATGTGGAATATTGACTGCTTAAACTGAAGCTCCTCAGAATATCCGAAGGCATAATGACAATTAAGTTATTTAATTTTCGAATATTTTCAAATACACAACTAAGACCCGACAAATAACACTGTAATATGCAAAACTAAGTTTACAACAAATGCCAAAATATCAAACGGAAATCCCGACGCCAAATGTCTAAACGTACTTTAAAATAACAAAATTGCTAAATTTGGCAGAAAAAATGACAATATGGCAACCATGTGCGATACAGGCATGTTTTTGTTATAATAATTTATTTTTTACGCCAATTGATCAAATTAAATTTTGATTATTTTCCATCCAAATTCGATTAGATTAGATCCCATTCCCAGAAAATTAACATTTGCATAAAAAATCAACCAATATACATATCTACGGTACATCATTAGTCCAATTTTGATATTCCAAGTATTTTTTCTGGGTATTTTTTATACACATGCTAGGCATTCTAATGTTGATGAGCTATTTCCGCCCGTTCTCTCTTTTTACAAGAACTACTTCTTGCTCAACAGTTGGTTTTATATTCCTGGGAGAACTATACATTTATATGGGCGACATATTTTAAAGACGACTATTAAAGAGTGAATTCAGGATTTTATTCTGATTTTTTTTTACGCCGGGTTTGATCTTCCTCCCCACCGATTGTAAATTAACTGTACCAATTTTAAGCTAACAATATTATGATTTCTGACGCAGGGATGCGGATATTTATAAAGATGATAGTTGACCTTCTTATGATTTTACTCTCCTATTGTATCTGTTTTATTTTCGTATTAAATAGTGAATAAAAATCCTGCAAAGTCATTGCGCGAATCCTGAATATTATTTTGAGTTTAAATAATAGTCAAATAATAATTTCTTGGTCGAATTTGGAACAAAATTTCGCAGAGTAATTTGTTACCTTTTTTGACATTTTCAATTTTACGAAAAGGTGTTGGCGCGCATTATGCAAAACTTAGAATTAAAACAATACCCAAATACCTGAAATACGACTCCTACTAAATTTTTCGTTTCTGTTTGTTAGCAAGAGCCATGGGATAATTCTTGTGGAATACAAGTGATTGGCAATTGGAATCACTTGAAATAAATTCAAAAATGAAATTTCTTCGCGGCACACCAAAATCTTTCTGCGGCACACTAATGTGCCGCGGCACCCTGGTTGCTAACCACTGCCTTACTTTTTTTTTTTTTGCCAAATTTAAATCCATTGCCAATTCAGATTTATGAAAATGATAGTTTTGGTTTATCCAAATATAATATTTCAATTTAGTTGCATGAATCCCAATTTTCCAGGTAACTTAGGTGATATTATGGAGCATATAAGTATACAATACATATATAAATATTGTCAAATATTAAAAGATTCAGATACATTTACCCGTATTGATCCAAAAACCCAATTTAAATTGTGTCTGCATCCATGAAATGGCAATCCATGTATCCATGTAATCCAGTGACCATTGAAAACATTATACCATACAACATATATTTTAAGTTTATACATAATTAGCATTTAATAAAAAATTTTTTTTTTTAAAGATTTAGACAAATAATCAGAAGAACACCTATCATGCCATTAGGTGTTCTCGACATTTTCCGTCTATGTAACCCTTTTTTTCGTTGTATGAAAAAGTAGACATGATACCCAAAATTATGAAACTATGGTACACAATGAAGTCCGGAGTCGTGAGATTTCTAATGATTGCAGAGTATTGGTTTATAATTAGTTTGGAATTGATATTATAACATGATGGATTTATTCCATACATCATCATTGTGTTGGTATCGCATAATATTATTCCTGCATTCACTGTCCATCAAACTCATACATCCCAGTATTTTACATTTGAAAATTGCTTTCAAATTACACTGCATTTCAGCATCATATTTGACAAGAGTTTCTGTATTGCCAGATTGCTGATTTGCCACAAATCACAGTCAACAACACAGACTTGTTTTCTATGTTGTTGGCTATGATTTGGTCTGGAGTAAATTGTCCTATATTGCACCAGTCCCAAAAATTCTGGGTCCAATCACAATCGAAAAAGAGATGAAAACAAGTTTCCTCTACATTATCGCATAATACACATATGCCCGATTCTTTCCTAAACCCATATTTTATTTTATCTGCTGTAGGCTGCCCAGTATGTATGGTTTTCCAGCTTAGTTCTTTATACCTATTGGGTACTTTTATTTGCCAAATCTTTTTCCATGGGATAGGTTGGATAAGATGTAGCTTGTTTGCAACATATATATTATGATCAATAATTTGGTTATCCAATAGGTTTGATTTTTCCTATTATAGAAAGATTTCGGGCCTTCCACAGATTTATTATGCTTTGGACACTATAAAGAACTTTGTTCCAATTTTTTTCAATGGAACTAGTGTTATTCCCTAAGTATGCCCCCAATATTTTAATCTCATCTTTATTGACCTCAATACCTTTGTATTCTGGGCCAATATTCCAATTAACTCCATTTCCACACAATAGAATTTTACATTTTTGTTTGTTAATTCGTATTCCCGTACCCATTTCTAAATGTTTTAATGTTTTAAGACTTTCATCGATAGAAGCCAAATTTGTTACAGTCAAAGTTGCATCATCTGCGTACCCTTCATGAATTTCGATTTGCCCACTACAATTGCTGAATCCCAAAATATCTTTATCAGATTTATTATTGATTGCTAAAAGCTCAGCTATAAACAGACACAAATATGGTGCTAATGGACATCCTTGTCTCACTCCCCTTGTTAACTAACAGGAATTCTTGTGACAAGTAGCCATTCGTAATAACTTTCGAAAGGGTGTTACGGTGCAGGGTTCGAATCCATTTTAAAAAATATTCTCTAAACCCCAATTTTCGTAAAAGGCGTAATACTAGTTCTTGATCGACAATCGCTTTCTCCTGATCTATTCAAAAAATATAATAAGAGGTAAGTTTTGTTGGTTAGCCCAAAAGATGTCATCCCGAAGAGTTAATAAATTTTCATGAATTACTCTGCCAAAAATAAATCCAGTTTGATCTTGTCCAATTAGTTCTGGTAATACACTTCTTAAGCTATTAGCCAATAATTTTGCTATAAGTTTATATTCGAAATTCAACAAGGAAATTGGGCGCCAGTTTTTTAAATCATCTTTGTCTCCATTTTTCTATAAAAAGTGTTATGACACCTATTGCTGAATCATGTGACATTTCGCCTATATCACGAAAGCTTTGGTACAGAATGTAGAATTGGTTTAAGTGACTTCCAAAATTTAGCGTAAAATTCTTTTGTTAAGCTGGCTATGCCGAAACAAAATGCACCGTGTTGTATTTCCCACAACACAACACTGTCCTGCCTGCTGTCCGTGAAACGGGGAATACCCTAACTATCTGGTGTTGGATTGAGTGGCTCTTGGATACCATCCAGTGTGATCACGATTGCTCGACAATGACAGACCACCAAAAATATAATTCCCCGATCTTCTAGATCAGTGGTTCTCAAAACTTTTTTAGTCTCCGAGCCGCATTTCAAACCTCAAAGTTATGAAGAGCCGCACATAAACAACGAAAAGTAAAATAGCAACATACCATCAAGCGCGTATTTAAAATACCAAGTCATCGTCACAACTACGGCTGGCATTTTACTATTCGAATATCCGGTACTACGTGACCCGCCCCGCTCTGCTTAGACACCGAACACGCGCGTCTCCAACTCAATCGTGAATTGTGCGAGATTTCCCAACGGCGCTCGCTATCAGAAAAAAAGTCAAATTTGAAAAGTCGCTGTCGTTGGGTTATGGTGTTATATGCTTACCTTTGCACTTCAACCTATCGTTTCAATTCCATTGTTTGCAAAAAACGTACCGACCGTTCCGTAAATTTAGAAACCTCAAACCAGATTAGGTATACCAATTTTAGGATATCGCCACCGAAACGATCTCGGTGACAAAGACAATCAGCGATTATGATGAATTTAACCATTAAAAACGCTTTATTGCCGACTTTTTAATGTTTCTATTAATTTCCAAATGGAGTATCGAACTCTGACGTCTGGATCCCTGTCATGTATAAAAAATATTCATTATTCGACTCTTCGCTTAAAATAATCAAATTATTCGATTCGAAAAAAGATTCGATTTTGCCTACCCTAGACTAACAGCCATTTAATTTGGCTTTGATTTCTAATAAGTTTGTCAAAGCGGGTTGGTAATCGTGGAGGATGCAAGGTGCGGTAGCTTCTTGAGATGATTGCCAGTTATTTCGGGACTATTTTCGATTACTGGAACAAAATTAAAATGCTCTAGAAATTAAAATAATCATTGAGTTATTTGATTTATACCTAATATTCGGAAATGCGACAAAAACTGAAAATCCAGAAAGCAAGCCAGTGATTACAGCCATGTCTAAAATCTTTCCAAGTGAAAAGTGTACGAGTGGCCGCGAAAACGCTTACTGTTGCGTCCCTATTGTATCTTGTAGATTAGTTAACGCTACGCTAATAAACAAGGGGGAATCCATTCGACTAAATAATAGACTTTTAATACAACACATTTTAATTTCAAGTCAATGATTAGTTTCCAATGAAAAATTTTTTTTGAAAGTAATTACTTTTTAAAGCATTAACAAGAGCCGCATGAAAGGTTGAGAGCGTTTTGTTATTATGTTGTTGTTGTTGTGAAAAAATATCTCTCCTCATTACCTACTAGAGAAATTGCTTTGGAATTTCCAGTGGTTAAAGATTGTATTTTTCGCTAAAATTCTATCACTTTCATTTATTTCAAAAATTTCTGTTGGCTCTTTAGGATTCAGTTTTTGTGTGTGATGACATCATCAAAATTAAAAACTACTCCCCTTTTTAAACTTTCTCACAATTCCAGAATCTACTGGTGTTCTAGGTATGAAAAACTTTTGGACCTCCTGAAGTATGCTGAACTCAGGTTGTGTACCAGGTTAAGGTTATGCGACATCTTAGTGCGCATACTTCAGGAGTACCAAACTTTTTATAAAACTTCAAGCCATTAATCTATTTTGAATCCAACTTAAGGACATTTGAAATATTCTCAAGGACATTTGAAATATTCTTAAGGACATTTGAAATATTCTTAAGAACATTTGAAATATTGTCGTTTCTAGCCAATATCAATAGAAACTTCGTGACCATCAGAGAATATTTAACTTCTTTCTCATTATCTAATTATGATATCAATATTGCAAATTACAGCTGTGAAAAATTGCATAAATAATACCAGAAAGAATTTGTCAGAAGATTAACTACTAGCATCAAAATGAATATTTATATTTCCTTCTAGTGTCTGTTGTCTGTTAATCAGGAATTGAAATCAATAAATAATGATAATATTTCATGGCTCATTAAGAAATTCACAAAGATTTCTCAAAATCATCTTCATTTTCAGTATAGAAATATCAGAAGTTGAATAATTGTTCTCAGCCTAGAAGGCCGCAATAAGACTGTTATGACGATACAAAGATGATGGTATGAAATGAGCCTCACCTCAAAAATACTGATAATGCATTGGACAACGGTGATCAGCAGTGAGGTCATTACTAAGGCATGGTTGAATTAACACTCCTCCTCCTAAACCTAAATGTTTTGTTCTTTCCTTTATTTGTAATAATAGATTTGCAAAAATTTGATATTGGTTGGACAGAAACCAATTCGTGCAATAGGGGTCATGTAATAAAAGCTTTATTACCACTAACCTAAATATTTCATTTACAACAACAACAACAAATTTTGATCAGTTACTTCAAGAATAAAATGCCTGAATAATATTTAACGTATTTAAAAATGCATATCTTCAAACTAGTTATATCAAAAAGCAATGATGTTGATAATAATTAAAAAAAACAGTGATTTCAAACGATTGAGCATTTAATATAAATAACCCCCACCTGATCATTAAGATCAAAAACTTGAATTATTGTATGAAACTAAAATCAGATAGGATCCATCATAAATAATTAATGTGAGTTAATGAGAGAGATATGATAACAATTAGGGCCCGACCGATATTTCGGACTTGTTTTTCATAAATTTCGAACTATCGGTATCGGCTTATTTTACCGATAGTTACCGGCCAATCACGTGACTGCAAAAGTGTCAAAATTACATCGAGCAAGCAGTTTTATTCCTTGTTTAAAAGGTGTCTCTCCTAATGCCCGGTGGCGTGTAATTATACATTTCATGTATGGCCATAACTGGAATGTTATTATCGATAATGACGTTTTTGAGAGAGTACACATGGGAAAAAAAGCAATTTAGTTTCGGCTCAAAACGCTAGTTCTATAAATAGAATAGATTTGAAGCTGTTGAGTCAGTAATCATAGGAACATGTTACAGGTAACTTGAAGCTGAAACACATGCTGGGAGATCCTTATGATGGCAATACCTGCTTTCAATGGAATCCTATGCTGGCAATACTTCGTATTATATGTCTATTACTATGACAAATAATTGTACTCTTGCATTTTGATGGCTGTTGTACAGTAACAATACGATCATCATAAAATAATGTCATCCCTAGCTCTGAATTCGAGACCTTCCTAAATTCAATTTAAAATTTCTTGGGCAACAATTTTAGCTTATTAATGGTTGTTAATCATTTTACTGAAAATTACACAAAAAAACTCCAGAGTTGAGACTAATGATAATGAGATTAAAATAGCACCTACAGGCTTTGCATGCCTTATTAAAACTGAATTGAGTAAATAAAGTATTGAGAGTATGTGCAATTTCAACTGTCAACACTCAACAGAGTCAACGACAGTTTTCGAAACCCCCAATTTTAAGGACCTCTAAATTTTTTTATGCAATTTTTTGTCATCATTGCAGGAGTTAAACATTCTGCTATAGATTTCATTTCTTTTGCAAGGAAAACACAGAATTATCAGAGTGTTGCTTGTTACTTGTAGTCATCTTTTTTTGTGTGGTAACATCGGTATCGGTTTATCGGCCAAGTTTTAGAAAACTATCGGTATCGGTTTTGAAAAGGCAGTATCGGTCGGGCCCTAATAACAACCCATAAAAAATTATAACGGGGAAAGCTCCTGTAATCTGACATAACACAAAATTGAATAAAATATTAAAAAATGATACATTTTCAGGAATTAGAGATTAAATTGTTGACCATATTAAATGGAATGATATAAAAAAATCACTACAAAATCAACACTACTAATATGAAATTAATTTTCACTTGTCACTTCCAAATAAAATAGGTATGAATTATCAATATTGATATTGGCTATCTGTAAAGAGAAATTATTCAAGCTATATCTTCAAACATTCTGTAACTTCATTCTTGAGCTAAATGTATAGAAGAAAAATCATCAAATAAAACTTTTTGTCAAACACATTATTCAATCTAAATATCAACACACAAATGATTGACAAATGACAAGTTTCCACAATTCTGCAAACAAATTAAATCAGGAAAATTGATAGGTAGATTCAATAAGATTATGAGAGCCATATTTGTACGAATAAAATAGTAATTGATGTTACATATTTATTGCAAAACTTGCCAATGGAAAAATATTTTTTCCGTGTATTGTTTCAGTGATTTTCCATTCTTTTGTTTCTGGATCATATTCCTCTATATTTGCAGGATTTCCATTTCCCCCAATGACATAAACTTTTTCATCAATCACACAACTACTAAAATATAGTCTTGCATTTTTCATTGGTTTCAACATCATCCAGGTTTTAGTTACAGATGAACGAAATTCAACAGTAGTGAGAGATTTTCCATCAACATTTTTACCTCCCATGACATATATTCCTTCCCCTGTTGCAGTTACAGAAGCTTGACTTCTTGCTTCATTCAATGATCTATTATCCATTGACCAAGTTGATGTGACAGGATCATAAATCTCAACTTTGTTAGTTGATTTATATGGATATTGCTGATTATATCCTGCAATACAAAACACCTTTCCATCAGCAGCCACCAAAGATTCTCCATATAGCATCAATGATTTGTTTGTTAGTCTGGACCAACTATTATTGGATGGATCATATCTTTCCATAATGTTTGAGTGCCTCTGATACTCAATACCATAAACAAAACCATAAAGTGCAACTGCACATGTATACTGAAGATTTGTATTTGTCATTTGTTCCCACTTTGCATTTGATTCAGCATATTTAAGTCTATAAAACGATCCATTTGTACAAATCACATAAATGTAAGATTCCATAACTACAGCAGAATATAAATTCTGTATAATTGCTTGATCTATGGTTTGCATTGGTGTCCATGTTTTATCATCAACATCATGAGAATGCATTCTTTCAGAAGTTTTGTCAAAAACAACAAGCTGTTATTTTTAAGTTGAAATTTTTGAACTGATTCCCAGTACTGTCAAGGATTGTACAAGAGTGACTCAAAGACCAGATATAAGTAAATGGTTCATTTTCAACGAGAAATCTTCTATACGACAAAGTCATTTTTGTCAACTGAAATTTCATCACCAAACTAAGAAAACATTCTTTTCTTTCATCAATATCATGTTTGGTCCATGCTAACAACATCTTACATTTTCCTTCTTCCTTTGCTTTTGTTTCCTTTGATTCCATCAGAAATGAAATAAATTTTTCATCAAGATCCATAAACTCATCAGACTGGGCAATTTCTTTAAAACGTTGCAATCCAAATTGATTGCATTTTTCCTCAAGTTGTTTACAGTTGTACCTATTCGCAATTTTTTTAGTTTGAAAAAACGATCTAGGATCAAGATCATCTTCCAGAAAAATTGCGATACTATCACAAAGTCTTTGCAGCTGCATCATGTGAGCGACACCCATGAGTGTTTCACGTTTTTCTTTGGCAACATAAGCATCCCCAGTGTAAATGAAATCAACACATTTTTTAACACAAACTTCATCAAATTCCTTTATTTCAACGACACCAGATTTTGTTTCAACATTTTCATGAGATAACATTGCTTTAAAATAATCGGAACTTGCCGACACAATATTCTTATGAACAGGAAGTTCCTCAGATCCAGCTTTGATCATGAAATCACAATGACGTCCAGTTTTACGATATTCATTTAATTGTTGTAAAATTTCAACAGCATGTTCTTTAGAATCTGTATTGATTTTTTCTTCCATTTCTGAGATGACGTGGTTTGAATATATAATGAACTGCGTATGATACTATTACTATTAATGAAAAGACCATAAACAATGGAAAAAAGAAAAATAATTTGAAGATACAGTATTTAATTAGACATTGCAGTCAATCAAAAATATACGTCAAGAGAGGTGTGACTCATCATGCCACGCGTTAGGAATCCGCGCGCCATCACACCTCTGATTACTTTGCGTGGGTTCGCATCTCATGCGGGGATGGTTATGTGCGAGAGGATTGTTGGACTCCTTGCTGCCATAGGCTTGTCGGTTACGGATTCCTCCACCATCAAGTCCATGCTTCCAAAAACAAATAACTAACTAATCCGTTACCCGACATGGAATGGTAACCAGACTAGAGATGTACCGATGTATCGGGTATCGGTATCAGCAATATCGGCCATTTTTTCGGTATCAGCATCGGTTAGATTAAGGCCGATATTTCCGATATATTTACCTTTTTGATATGGTCCAGAATGTTTTAAAAGATAAGTTGGAATACTACTTTTTAATTCATTTTTTGTCTGGAGAGATCGTGAGCTATGAGCCATACATGTCCCTACCCCCGCGAGAGAATAGGATTCACGTATTTTTAGCTTTTTTCGCTGTCAAATTTTTATATTGACATTTTTAATATTACATAGTAATTATAAAGAAATATATCAACACGGCACATAACAAAAAGCAATTAGGCGCCCAGTTTTAAATCATACAGTGGAATTGGGGTCCTTATTAACGGCACATGGACTTTTGGCACAGGTATAAATTCTGACTGTTTGTCGTCAAGTACGAGTGTCATTTAGTCCGACGACATCGATAAACTAAATTCCGACACAACTATCCCTCTACGCAGATATTAATTTTGTTTAACTACACAATTTCTTTATAGATATATTGACATGACCGCCTAGCCCTAGAGCAGTGGTTCCCAACCGCCGGTCCGCGAAGCTTTTTTGCCGGTCCGCGAGAGATTTCGTCGTTTTTCATTTTCTGCCGTCTCAATCGATTTACTGATACCAAAAAGATGGAGTAGCGTTGATTTATTATGCAATTTCTCTTCCGCCGTCATATTGCTGTTTGATAAGTGCGACCTGGCGACGTCATGGCGCCGTGTAATCACACTTTTCGTTTTCCCCTGTTCCGCCGATTCATCGTGAAAGCGCTCCGTCAAATCTCGCAAGAATCCGAAATCCTGAAAATCAGCATGTGGGCTTTCCCTTTTCTGCATGCTTTTCTTGTTTAATATGACGAAGATACATTGGTTTATTGCGCAATTTCACGTTCGTCGTTATATTGCTGTTTGACAAGTTCGGTATTAATGGCCTGGCGACGTCTTGGCGACAAGTAATCACACTTTTCGGTTACGATTCATCGCGAAAGCGCTCCGTCGAATCTCGCAAGATTCAGAAACCTGAAAATCAACATGAGTGCTTTTTCCGTTCTGCATGCTTTTCTTGATTAATATTGCCATCCAATTAAAAGATTATGAATATTTATTTGTTTGAACCAGAAAACTGTCAAGAACAGTATAATATTCCAGAGCTTCCCCTTGACAACCAGAGAGATATGAACTTCTTGCGACCATGCAGATGGTCACAAGACGCACAATAGAAGCACCGGCCGTTGGGACTTTTTCCTAGTCACGCACAGCAGGATTTTGAGCCTGGTGCAAGTTAGCAACGACTTTATAATTACAATATAAATTCATTTTGTTTGGGGCGTCGATCCACTGCAGAAAAATTGATATGATGAACCCCATTAAACTTGTACTTTACATGCCAGATTTATAAAGGAATCATCGTCACGATTCATTCTTGAGCTCTCTTGATAACGAATACCCATCGCTAAGTTATCGAGCATTCAAACTGTTGTCCGAATTTTCAACCTATTACTTCTAGCTTTAATTAAAGCGAAGCGAATAAATCAACTGTTTGCCGCTGCAGAGCTAAGTGTTACAAAGCCCCGTTTGATGACCCGTTTGCAATTCTGTATTGGAAACGAAACAGTAGAAAAATTCTCATTGGAGATTATTATGTTTGTACATGATTTGACATGTATATACAAGTTTTTTAAGTGAGATTTGGGCCCTTTTTACGCATGATGGGTGCCCAGCACTGCATTTCACCACGCAAATATAGGGTATTATTTTATATTCCACCCATTTCAATTTTGGTGGGCACATAATTGATAGTTTTTCCTCATGTGAAATGTTTTAAGTGTGCCTTTTTTTCTAAAAGCAAAGTAATTGCTCGACATTACGCAAAAATATGTTATTATTTGCTGTTCAACTCATTTCAATTTTTGCCGGTCCGCGATTACATATTATTTAATTTTACCGGTCCGCCAGGGTAGAAAGGTTGGGAACCACTGCCCTAGAGGGCCTAGAGTCCTAGACTGTCTCAAAATATATGATGGCAATTGTATAATAATATAAAATAGTAAAGTAAATAAACATCCTCGACGGTTATATGTAGGCCTTCTTTTGGTCGGTGCTGATTGATATTCTTTCATGTTGGCTTTGACTTATTGCGTCGACGATTACGATTTGCCACGAAAATAAAATATTTGAAAAATGCTTTTAATTTGAACGTAGGACGGCGGCTCTAGAATGTGTGGATGATATTCGATATTCTTTTAAACACGAATAACGATATTCGAAGGTCGTGATATTAACATTAAATTCAAATTGGACATCCCGGCTTATGAGTTTTCTAATTGAACACCGAGATTACTAGCGTTACTGTACAGTGTATCTTAATCAGTTAAAGCAAACACCAAACATTAATTTCATATTATGTGATATATCTTTTTTTCGATCTGAAATAATGTGTACTATGAACAACGCTCAAAGACCATTGTTTTAACCCGTCTGCCCTACACAGCACACCTAATTAAGTAATATTTACATAGTATCGGAATATCGGTAATATCGGCCTTTCTGTAGTATCGGCATATCGGTATCGGCTTTTTTAGCTGGTATCGGATCGGTATCGGCGACAAAAGTGGTATCGGTACATCTCTAAACCAGACAAGAGGCCGTCGTTCGACATATGGTTAAGCCATTATTTCGGCTTTCCTCTCCCCGGGATAAATATGTAAATCCTATCCTTATGTGAATCTTAACTCACTTAATAAGTAAATTACAACATGAAACAAACAAGACACTGAATCATAATTTTAGAAAAATGCAATGCCTGATCAAATAAGTACACAACCAGAATCTTGGAAGTATATAAAGAATGTCTCTATAAACATGTGCTATCTAAGCAGAGTTACCATATCGTGCTTATTTCTTAGCTTGCGTCTTATAAAGTAACGATGTGCTTATTTCTAAGAAAAATGCTTATTTTTGAGTTCTGTGCCTGTTTTGTCTTAGAAACATGGATGACTCGTGGAAACATGAGACAATGTTTATCATTAACGCGTATTCGCTGCGTTACTATTGTGAGCTATGAATTATCCACGTTCCACCGTGAACTTTCAGCGCAAACTTTTTCTGTTAACGGTAGGGTTTGCGGCCACAAGAAATTTACAAAAATCATTGCGGGTAACCAAAGTATGAAGACTTCAGAGCAGTGTGGCCCCCTTCTAGAGGCATTTAGCACTCATGGCCCCCTTGTTTATCATTTTAATGGTAATTAAAGTGTTACTTTGATTGGTAGATTCCTTGTCCCATTGTGTTTAAACAATTCATGCTCCACAAAGTAAAAACAACCGGTGAAATAACCTTATCAAGCAAGAAAACTAGGAAGAACGGGAAGTTTTCTTGTAAAGTTAAACGTAAAATCAGTTTTGCGGCTGGAATGGTGGCCCCCGCCAACTGCTATGTGGCCCTCTTGGTGGGCCACGCGCCTCCGGTTGGGAACCACTGCTTTAGAGGTTGCGTGTGGCTGTGACTTCACGTCATTTCCATGGCTTTCTTGTTCGAAGCGACTTATAATAAAAAAAAGATTGCGTGGATAAAATATGGGCAATGCAGAAGACACTCGTGTATGATTTCTTTTTCGTTTGCATACTGCGTTTCTGCCGTTGTTAAGTATCCCCCACCCTCCAAAATACCCTTTGACCCCCGTGCTAATTTTTAGCTGTAGGTAGATGGTAACCCTGTATATAAGGTATAAAATTCCTCAAGTTAACATGTAATCTAAATAGGGCCTTAAAATTATTAGTTTTGGATGTTGTTGATAATGTTACAGTTTGTGATCGGACGTAACATCTATAATACATGTCAATATTTGAAGACTATAATTAACTGACATGAAAGTAGTTTTGCATTTCAACTACTGGGCATGCTAATGTATCAATATCATGAATAAAATTCAATATTATAAAAAAAAGTTTTCATCACCAAGTACAACTGCATGATCCAGACCATCTTAAATATATCAGAATTGCTTGAACTGAGCAAAACAGAAAAACTTAAAATTTGTTCAACCAACTGTTGAATTGGCAACATAACAGATAAACGTTGCTGTAGCAAGAACATCAAATACACCTATCAAGTTCATATGTCTGAAAATACAATTCTCTTGTGGAATGTACAATGCAAGTACCGGTATCATGTAATAATAATAGTTTAATTTGGTTTGTTCTCGAGATGTTTCGAAGCCTAAAAACCTGAACTGACACTCCAACATAGTTTTATTTTCTATTCATTCATATATATTGCAGTATAATGCGCCTATCCAAATGCTAGCTTATGATAATATATGTTTCATTCTAATTCTGTTATTTCATATTTGAGTACTGGTATCATACTCTATATTGGCATGTTAAACAACTAATGTTTAATGGAATTCATTCCGTCATTAGCCTGTCTAAACTTGTTCTCTATCAACTTTTTTCTCCAGTCTTCCAATGTCCAGCCCCACTACAGATGATCATAA